ATCTCGTGGAGGTGAACGAGAGCTGCCTGTTGAGCCGCCTGTAGAGCCGATCGTCAATTCCCTTGCACGTCGGCAACAAATACTTGCCATTGCTCCAAGCATGCAGGATGCCGGTGTAAGTCAGGATAAGAAGGCCGGTCAAATGGTGCTACTTCCTATTGACTTCGTGGAGAAGATTTTGAGCTCCAAGTTGAAATGTTCCAAATGTGACAGCGTTTGTGTTGTTACCGTGAACGCAATTCAAGCGGAAGCTTCTTCGATTTCCACCAAATGCCAGGTTTGCGATGCGAAGCAACAATTGTATGAGGCTGAACATGCGAAGCAAATTGACGGTAGTGTGTCTCAATTCACTCTTCGCAATGTTTGCCTTGTATACTATTCACTAATGAATAGTGATGGCTTAGCCGGGTGCAGTCGGATCTGTGGTGCTCTGGCAACCGCTGGCTTCTCAAGCTATGCCTTCTCTGGGCATTGTGCCTTTCTCTTTAGAGAAATGGATAAGTTCTTTGCAATGAAGCAGACTGAGATGATATCTGCTCTGAAGCGAACTTATTCTGAGAATGGGACTTACAAGGAAGGCGACGAATTTCTCGACGTGGATGTAAGCTTTGACGGCACGTGGATGACACGTGGCCACAAGTCACACGTAGGTATCGGTTGTGTAATTGAACTTGAAACCGGCTTTGTGCTTGACTTTGAGGTCCTGTCAAACTTCTGCCAGAAATGCTTCTTGAAAGAGAAAGCCCTGTCCCCGGAGGAGTTTGCTTGCTGGAAGGAGACGCATGTCAAGTGTAATAAAAACTTCGATGGCAAGGCTGGTGCTATGGAGCAGGAAGCTGCTACGAGACTTTNCTATTATTGTATTTAATATAATTAACCACCATGGTAAGTTTGCTGGACATGTGTTGGACATTAATGTAATAAAAGAAAAGGCCTGCATGAGAGGGATGCTTGAAAATTAAGAAAGTGTCATCGACATATCGGTTGTAGAATAGTGGCTTAAAATCAAGAGGACAATTGGCCAGCCATGTAGCCTCTTGAAAGCACATGAAAATGTTATCAAACGTAGGGCTGAGAGGAAGACCCATTCCCAAAACCATCAATTTGTCTATAAAACATGCCAGCAAATACAAAAAAGAGAGGAACATTTGAAGATTGACGATTAAGTTAATAATTTCGTATGAAACTGAAATTACAGAGATTTGCGGGTAATATTGGTCAGTAAAATATGAGAAACATAGGAAAAATAAATTAAGGAGATGAATCTTCTTGCGATGGATAGTATAAGAAATATTTCGAAAGACGACTAAACTCTTCGGGGGACGCCTGTCGGTGGCCACCACTGCCGTGCATCGAATGGACTACCATGATCCCATCCCTCAAGAACGTAGCCTATAATACTTTTTGACTGTAACATTATCAGCCGCAGGCCACCAGACAGATCACATTCGTTGAATTAGATCAATCAGCTCTCAAGAAAATAGCCTGACGTAGAATGGCCCAGCGTCGTCCGCCAATATAAAACGCGCAAAATTTTACACCACTCTGATGGAGCGCGCCGGAGCCGTCCGTATCTGTCCCGTGTGTCAAATCATCCTCCGGTCAAATGGGCGCAGCCGCAGGCCACAAATTTTACTCTTAAATGAACCCTGGGGCCAACGCCTATCTTCACCATGCATTAACTTTACTCAGCCTCGGAACTAGAAACCGCAGTCTACGCTTGAACTCCGTAATCCAGACAAGCGACACACTGCCGATAGACAATAGCGCCGGAGGTCTGCAGCCAATGCATAAGCAGTCTCGCTCATAAGCAGGCAGTTCCCCATCCGGCTGTACCTACTCCGGCCTAATCTCTTCTGGCCTAACCAATTCACGCTGTCCCGGTTCACAACCTTCATGCAACCAATGACTGGCTCTACCAGCACACTTGGACCGCCTTTCTGTCTTCTTGCAGCCAATGAGGTTAGGTTAGGTCCGCTCAGGTTTGTTTTGGGTGGAGAAAGGTTGCAGCTCGTATAGGTTAGGCCTGAAGANTGTGCTTAACCACCCGGCCTCCTCGCCGATTCTGACCAGAAACTGATGCACTGAGCTGGGATTGAACCCGCACCTCTCTGCGCCAATCCTGATACTCTGAACTTTAACCACTAGGCCACCCTGCCTAATTGCCTAATTGGGGGTGCATGCAATGATGCAATTTGAAGGCCTTCCGAGAGTGCTATTTGTTAATGATGTGGCACTTACTGTGACTTAGTAGCCTACTTCATAAGGCAATGCCAGTTATTGGGCTGCTGGAACACTTTAATGCACTCTTCAGTGAAGTTCAGTCTCTTGTAACTCTGTCTCTTATACACATCTAGATGTGTATAAGAGACAGCCACCAGGCCGCGGATCAAATCCGACTTCCGGGCATCGTTAAATTACGTAATTTTACGTTCACCGCATCTGAGGTTAGGTTTCAGATAGCATAGTTCTGTTCCAATATTTATCGTTCTTCGACAAGTGGCTGTTCGACCGAGGGCTAGTTCGACCCACGGCCTAGATACGGACGGCTTGAAGTGTTGAAGGCTACGTTCCGGAAGGCAGGAAATTTCATGATGGTCCATTACATTTACATCCAGGGCAGTGGGCGTCTTCGGCAGGGGACCCCTATGAGCTAAAAGTTACGTAATTTAGCAAAGCTGCGGAAGTCACTCGTCGGACGATTGATTTTGGAACAGAACTATGCTTTCAGAAAGCTAACCCCGGATTTTGTGAGCTAAAAGTAACCGTCTGGTTACTGTCCTGTCTGGTAGTGCACAGCAGTATGGAGTATGCATGCAGTTCCACTGGCGAGCTGGGCTTGTTGGTCGCAGTCCGCAAGTTGCAGTATGAATTGCTAAAGTCTGGGTAGCCTATGATGGGCATGAACTTTATGAAGTGATGATTCGATGCAAGTCATGCAACAACGTTCAGTGGTGTTCCGATGACCGGTGGATAACCATTCCACTCAGGGCTATTCGCTTCAGAATATGGTGTCGTAAAGCTCCTAATATATAAAGCAAGATGATGTCATGATGGGCTGGTTACCAACTTCAGGTTTAATACGCGGCTGATTGGTGCCTGGTGAGGCTGGTGGCAGGCTGGAATTCTAAGAATGGAAGTTCACTTATTAAAAAGCTTTCCACCCAAGCTGAAAAGCTTTCCAGTTCCCACAGTGCTCTTCCAGGTGAATGACTAAAGTGACTATAAATGAAAAAGTGGATCAAAAGTGGACTATGGACAAAATGTTTCAATTTTATACTAGTACATTAAATTTGAAAAAGAATTATTTAGATATCACTAGTTTGATAGATATTTTTTATTTGTCTTTTATTTAATGGATTTTTTAAAATTTTCCAGGCCTTTTGTTTGTAATGATCAAGTTTCAGTCAAGTATTTAGTTAACTAGTACTAGAGTACATATACGTACCATACTTGGGGGCATGGTGGCAATCCATAGGTTATTCAAAAGAACCTGTTCTTTTGTCATTTTGAACCGATCAACGCTTTTTTACGGACCGATCGTAAAACACACCTTCTGTGACCTTCACCGGCAAAAGCTTTTGCACTTCTGAAGAAAGTCAGCTGACAGCTACACTGGCCGTGGGGCTGTCTCTTATACACATCTAGATGTGTATAAGAGACACCTATCAACCAATCACAGCTAGAAAGCAGATAACATTACAATTCCATTATCCAACCACAGCTGGAAAGCTGAAAGGGGCTAAAATCACAATCCCAGCAACCAATCACAGCTGGAATTCTGAAAAGGGATAGGATATGTAAATAATGGACTGAAAGTGTAAAGTTCCTGGTCTTTCCAAGCTTTCAGGTCCTGCTTTCCAATATGCTATGTGTACTAGTTCATTTATTATCCCTCTAGAATTCCACACTGGCTGGTGGTCTTCCGGAAATATGCTACTGCTAGTAGGCGTTCCTTTCAGTTTCAGGGGCCGGCCTGCCAGGGCTAATTGGTGCAAAATTTTAGTAATAATAATATAATAATAATAATATAATAGCGGTTTCAGCGTTTATTAGGCCGTAGGCCTGTCGCCGATTCTTAACATCGCAGAAACATTCACAGCATTTTGCGGTCTCGAACTCGCAACTCACTGCTACAATTCTGCTGTGCACTGTGCTTAACCACCCGGCCTCCTCGCCGATTCTGACCAGAAACTGATGCACTGAGCTGGGATTGAACCCGCACCTCTCTGCGCCAATCCTGATACTCTGAACTTTAACCACTAGGCCACCCTGCCTAATTGCCTAATTGGGGGTGCATGCAATGATGCAATTTGAAGGCCTTCCGAGAGTGCTATTTGTTAATGATGTGGCACTTACTGTGACTTAGTAGCCTACTTCATAAGGCAATGCCAGTTATTGGGCTGCTGGAACACTTTAATGCACTCTTCAGTGAAGTTCAGTCTCTTGTAACTTGTAAGTTCAACTAAGTTGTAAGCAATCCCACTCCTTTGAGGCTATTGGAGGTTTGGACTTTGGAGCACAACAAGCGGGCTGTTGGCCTGTTGCTTCTGCTGGCGGCTGGCCTGCTCTCATTATGGCAGCGGCCATTGGCATTTGGCCTACCGTAGCATACCTTTATATTGGCCATTCACGCCATTGCGATCCTATTGCAACAAGCATGCATTCCTAATTACTAATTAGGCCACCATGCTCCCAAATTACTTAGATATAGATACATGGTCATAGGTCATTTATTATGCATAGAGAATGCCACCATTTAGGTAGGTATGCCATTTATTTATGGAACACTAATTTATAAAATATTAAATTATGAACAAGATGCAACAACTAGTAGGCTAGATGAAACTCTCAACACTGTGAAACTTTTATTGAAAGTTTAAAATGTAGGAGCTCAATCATTCACATATAAAATAAAGGTAAAGAAGCATAAGTAAAATATTTCATGCACCTATCCTATTTAATGGAAAAAAAATATTTCAAAAGAGTCATGACTTAATTGACTTTGACTGGAAATCCTTACTTCAAAGTTCAAACAACAATGAACAAATAAACATGAACTATAAACAGTGATAATTATGTAATTTAATGCACATTCCACTTATTTATTATATGCATGTTTCAAGAATTAAAAAAAGCCTTATTCACAAGTGTTACAGGTTTTCCATAGATAATCAGAACAAATTCAACTTTGAGCCAATAATGCCATCTCAAGGTGAGTGAAAAATTAATGTCTTATCAAGTTACCATCCTTTTTATGCTTGAGTTAAACTGCTTTTGTAAGAAAATTGCTATAAATTCTTTATATCATTGGCAAATATTCATAATTCATATTAAGTTCAAAATTTCAGTCTTTATGCTAATTAATAGGTTTGTGTTCTTCTGCGTGGGGTATTACTGATTTTTTATCAAAATTCTCATATATATGTCATTTAGTGCACAAATAATTTATTTGGAAAATTTAAAGCATTCTCGGCCTATGTAGGTATTTATTCTTCGTTACTATTTAATTTTCAATGTGTACCTACTTATTTAGGTACATGTTTCCTAACAATTATTTCAATGGTCATAAAATCCATTCAGAGCTTCTGATGTATAAATACCTATGCACAACTGGAAATTTTCTCTTTTAGGAGAGTTTACCTGCATGTTTGAAGATATCATTTTTTGTTTGCCCATTATCCTCAGCATACTAACATTTTCCAAGAACACTGAAGAAAAGCCTTATGTTTCTTGACCCATTTGTTTCCCTTTTTCAGATGAAAATTTCAGCAACCCTGTGGCTCCTCCTGGAGAAAGTCTGCCAGAGGAGGCAAGGTAATATCTCAAATTTGTTTACATTGAGCTATTTTAAATACAGGTGTCAGGTGTGGAAAATGGAAATCATATTTTCTTCAATCCCTGTAATTTATTTAAACAATTTTGTTATGTGTAGTAATGTCAAGTATAATTAAGATGTAATATATATTATAAGATGTCTGCCTGGAATATGGTAATCCATTTAGAGTGTAATTTTTGAGGAATATTAAATAACAGAAATCTTAAACAGATTCACATTGTTTGTTACAAATAATAGAAAACCAGCAGTCCCATGTGACTATATATATGCCCTAATGCCATATTACTAAAAGTATTTTTCAAGTTTGTAACTATATCAGCCAATCACTAACAGCTTTTCAAAGCTAAACCCTCAATCATGGATGGGAAATTGGCAGCCATGTCTACTTATTATGCTTCATTTACGTACATAAGCAAGTATTCTGAGTCAAGATCTGGTTTTGGAGCAATCCAATCAAAGTCTTCCTTTGAAAAATGATAATAATATAAATTCAAATTTTTTCTGTAGCCTCATTTGCTGATATGTCCTCATTTGGGTACAGTTTATTTTGCTAGTTCTTAGGATCTATAAATCCTCACATGGGTGATGAAAATTAAATTTTCAATATGGTGGTGTACTTGTTGCAAAATTTAGTCAACAAATGTACGTAAGTTGAAAATTTTGCCAGTTAATAAATGTTGCAATTTAATAAAATATTGTGCTCAAGGGTATAGCTTGATGACAGTTAATTAATAATATTGAAAAAATAATTTGTAAATTACAAATATCTTTCAAAATTACAAACTTGTAAATATTTCTGTAAAACAGCAAAAAATATCTCAAAATTTTCACTACCCATTTGTACAAATTATTAGACACAAGGAAAAATTGAACTCCAAAGAAGATATGAATATGAATACAAATGTGGTTCTATTAATTGAAAAAATGCTTAATAGTTAAAAAAATTCCCTATACTTCAGGGGGTCCAATAAGCTGACAAATGCTGACTTCCGCCGGCTGATGATGACGCCACGGGCGCCAGCCTTGTCCAAGGATGCCACAGAGACTAGCAAGACACCTGCAGGGGGCGAGGACTCCAAGTTGGCTGCTGCTCAGCGACGGGATCCTAAGGAGGAAGCCCGAGCCAATGAACGCAAGAAAAGGAAGAGGTGCTCTCTCACTTTTCTCTTTTTTCTCATTTTTTCTCATTTGTAATTTCTAATCTTACATGTGGTTTAATGCTGCTAATGTAATTAATGACTACTCTTTCTATTCTACAAATGTTTTTTTTTAAACATCCAATGAAGGAAGCTTGAGCCAGTCAATACAAGATAAGAATGAAGCTCTCCATTTGTGGCTTTTGTAAGATCTGATTTTATCATAGAAATACACTGCCAATGTGGCAGTGTACCGGTATTGTAATACACTACATAAGAAATATAGTAGATGTATTCCATTATTATACGTACTTTCCTAATGTTGAATGTTTCTTGAGTTATTATTTATGACTATTTTCCTGCTCCTTATTTTGTTCTTATTGCAATTGACTGCATTTAATTTTTAGTAGACGTTCTGTATAACTGGAGTAATTGTTCAGTATAATTAAATTATATAAATTGCCCTTAATTTTTTTAAGTTTGGTTGACTTTTGTCAGCAACTATCCCTGCCTGAAGAAGGAGGATAAGCTACTAATCATGCTGTATTGCTGGAGTCTTTTTCCTATATACTTAGAAATATAAATTTTCAAATTACACTATATATCACTGTAGAAATTACCCTATATTTCAAAATAAGAATTTCACTATATTTAATGACTAACGGTTTACTTTCTGCAGTTACTACGCCCGTCTGAAGAAGGAAGACGAGCTACTAATCATGCTGTATTACTGGAGTCTTTTTCCAATATACTTAGAAATATAAATTTTCAAATTACATTATATATCACTGTAGAAATTGCACTATATTTCATGACTAATGGTTTACTTTCTGCAGCTACTACGCCCGTCTGAAGAAGGAAGACGAGCTACTAATCATGCTGTATTACTGGAGTCTTTTTCCTATATACTTAGAAATATAAATTTTCAAATTACATTATATATCACTGTAGAAATTGCACTATATTTCATGACTAATGGTGTACTTTGTGCAGCTACTACGCCCGTCTGAAGAAGGAAGACGAGCAGAAGATGGCAGAGCTGGCAGAGAAATACCGCGACCGCGCGCTGGAGCGGCGCGACGGTGTCAACCCTGACTACCACGTCGAGGACGCGTCTGCTGAAGGACAGGGTGCCTACAGGGCCGTCGCTCCCGACCTCAAATCGTGAGCTGGACAACCTATACGAGTCGTGATTTATTGCGTGTTGGGATCTCTCAGTGTTGTCATCTTTATTGCATTTTGTGCTGGTCAAGTCAAGTAGCTCCTTCATCTTCATTGCGTGTAGTGCTCGCCAGTCTACCTAGTACCTTTATCGATTACTTTTATGCAAACCCAGCTTATTTCTTACCAGTTTATTGACTACCACTTGAAGGTCCTTTTCATATTGTCACGATGTACCATCAGGTACCCGTTGTTAACCACCAACTAATTCTAAGTAATAAATAGATTATAGTTGTATTTTATTCTGTGTAAAGCACTGAAAAGTAGTGAATTAATTGAACATATTGATTGAATTTAATAGTGGGTAACGTACTTGGGTCTAGATGAGGGAGCAAAGAGCAGCTGTTACAAATTGCTACCATATTGTGTTAATCAGTTAACACTTTTGTGACGTGTAAAGTAACTAACCAAGTTTCCCTCATACTTGGTAAATGTTCAGGTTCAATTTGGAATGACGTCGCTTATCACGAGTGATACCTGTGCTACAGTTAGGTTACTATATTGATGTGTATATAATAAGGTCATGTATTATTCTCAATTGGGAAATAGTCGAGTGTATGCTATGAGATTAGGTTGAATATACAAGAGTCAAGTAGACACTGCGCTACAAAAATCAAGTTGAAAGCACAAGAGTTGAGTAGAGAGCGCGCAAGAGTTGAGTAGAGAGCGCGCAAGAGTTAAGTAGAGAGCGCGCAAGAGTTGAGTAGAGAGCGCGCAAGAGTCAAGTAGAGAGTGCACAAGAGTTAAGTAGAGAGCGCGCAAGAGTTAAGTAGAGAGTGCCCAAAGTCAAGTAGAGTGTGCAGTAAAAGCTCAAGCATAAAAGTGCAACTGTGAGTTGTTGTGCAGAGGCTTGGATGCTGCTGAGCGCCGTAAGCAGATGATCCAGGAGTCCAAGTTCTTGGGAGGCGACATGGAGCACACACACTTGGTCAAGGGGCTGGACTACGCCTTGCTGCAGAAGGTTGCTATTTTAATAGTACTAAGAATATTTATTTTTAAACTAATTAATGACGGGGCAATGCCCTGCTGCAGAAGGTTGCTATTTTAATATTAATATAATTATTTATTTTTAAATTAATTAGTGACGCGGTTATGCCCTGCTGCAGAAGGTTGCAATTTTAATATTAATATAGTAATTTGTTTTTAAATTAATTAATGACGCGACTATGCCCTGCTACAGAAGGTTGCGATTGTAATAAGTATAATATATGGCGCCATTTTTTATAAAATTATCACGTTATGAATGAACCCAAAAAATGTGTAATTTATCAATGATTCAAGGTATTCACGTTTTGTCATACAACAGAAAATAATTATGATTTTTGGCACGTACAGTACTAGAAACAATAAATTAACTTAAGATAGGAGTTCGTGGCCGATACTGGCTATAATCTGCTGTTCATTTGTTTTTTCCTTGTACCCGAGATATCACAATAGAACCATATTGTTGTGCATGATGTGTAGATGTGCATATAATGTTTCATATGGCAAACCAATCACAAATAATTTATATTAATGTCTACAAAATTAAATAAAGTTGATATGAATGTGGAAATAATCACGTCTACTTAATATTAATGCCGACACAATCGTGAATAGTTGTTATGTATTTCCACACAATCACGAATACAAGAAATGAATGTCCTCTACTGCAAATCTGACAAATTCCTTGCCCCTGGAGCCAAAGAAACCATAATCTTAAAATATATTTATTGTAATAACGTTACCATGAACAGGACTGCAATATATTTTGTAGAAACTACGCTATTCAGAGATTTAAAGATATTTTAAATGTTGAGGTTCTGAAATTTTACCTTCATCTTTTAGACAAAATTTTGTATCATTTGAGTTGTTTTTCTGGTCTTAATAATAAAGCTTGTTTTTATATAAAGTTTTTAATTGTATTTTTCTCTCAAGGTTCGGAGTGAAATTCTGGCAAAGGAGGCTGCGGAGACAGAGGGGGATGGTGGCGATGGTGATGCTGGCAGTGGTGATGAAGCATCAAAAGATGATGATAAGCCTGCTTTCAAGTGAGTTAATTCTGGCACTTTTTGTCACATTGAATCAAAAATTTTGACCAACGTCAACTGACGCGGTGCACCAGGCAGTATGTATTTTTTTCATGTGCATTTTAACATCAAAGTATTGGCCAATTTTATGTTATTTGTGTGGGTGCATTAGGAGTGTGGATTTTTTTAATTGCATTGTTTGACTTGACTGGTCAATACTAAAACACCGGTCCATTTTTTTCGCAAAAATGCTAAAATTACATAGATGGTTTGATGTGAATAGAGGATGAACAAGTTAGCTGGCCCCTGTTTTGCATTAATCTAAGCTATCTTCATTATCAGCCAATCAGGCAGTCGTCAGTTGGAAACCACTATAATCAAACATGTTTGGTTTAATTGGCCACTACTTGCTGTTGCCCTACCAAGCAGCCAGTACCCGTCTATACGAGGCCACCAGCCCGATAATTAGGGACGGTAAATTTTTGCCAGTCATGGGGGCTACCACAACTGGCTATGTGTAAACGAACCTGTATATATATTTGTCCTGGGCTAGTGTGTGTTCAACACTGATATCGGCGCATGTTCCGAGTTCAACTTATGATTTGGCGGAGATAAATATTATTGAACTGTGCAGAACTGCGCTGGGCCGACGCGTATTCAACGTTGTGATGTCGGCACGTGGAGGTCCTGAGTTCAACGACCTTTTCCTGCCGGGGCGCATGGCGTACAGCATCGACCTGGAGGCGGACGACGAAATCCCAACCACCGTCATTAGATCCAAGGCTGACCTCCAGGGCATCGAGGTCTGGGCATTGGAACTGCTTAGTGTAATATACTGACCTCCAGGGCATCGAGGTCTGGGCATAGAACTGCTTAGTGTAATATACTGACCTCCAGGGCATCGAGGTCTACATCGAGGTCTGGGCATAGGAACTGCTTAGTGTAATATACTGACCTCCAGGGCATCGAGGTCTGGGCATAGGAACTGCTTGGTGTAATATACTGAACTCCAGGGCATCGAGGTCTGGGCATAGGAACTGCTTGGTGTAATATGTCTGCTAACATGACCTCTTAGTTGCCAGAACATGCATCTCCTGGTGTATATATATGCCTGTTAACATGACCCTTTTAACAGATCATGAAGATCATAGTATAAACTCTGGCTAACATGTCATAGTATATACCTCGGCTAACATGTCATAATATATATACCACGGCTAACATGTCTTAGTATAATATAATAATTTTTGAGTATATAATATACTCCGGCTAACTTGTCATAGTATGTACCCTGGCTAACACGTAATGTTTGTCGGCAGAACATGCAAGCGACGTTCACCAGTAACGACCTGGTCATCCAGAAGCTGTCACAGATTCTCTCGTATCTGCGCACCGGACGCACGTCTAAGAAGATAAAGAAGAAGGAGCTCAAGAAACCTGATGTGAGTGTAAGACACCTGGATAAAAATAAGGCCTTATTGTTATACTGCCATTCGTATTTTATTATCTGCTCTTTGTTTTGTTTAAGTAGCGTCAGAATGATTCAGATGTCTTGCATCTCTGCCAAAATGAGATTTCGCAACTTCAATATTATCTTCATTGTAATCTTTGTTTTGTCTAGGCAGCTCCTCCAGAAACCTGATGCAAGTGTCATGCACCTGAACAAAATAAATCTTTTCTTGAATAAATACATATTGTTTGTGAGTAATGTTAGGATCCAATCCAGAATCCACTATCCGAGTAGAAGGATATATTATGCTATATCTATATTCTATATTATTCATATTATAGGGTAAGGCGGCCGCTGACGATAGCATCTACGGCGACATCGGCGCCTACGCGCCTTCTTATAAGGGTGGCCCCAAGGACGTCCCGCGCCGGGACAGGGAGCGGGACTCCCGCAGGGACCGGGACAGGTGAGAGGAGCGGGACCCCCGCAGGGACCGGGACAGGTGGGAGAGGGAGCGAGGTTCCCGCAGGGACCGGGACAGGTGGGAGAGGGAGCGGGACTCCCGCAGGGACCGGTACAGGTGAGCGAGGGACCGGGACAGGTGAGAGAGAGGGAGCGGGACTCCCGCAGGGACCGGGACAGGTGAGAGAGGGAGCAAGACTCTCGCAGGGACCGGGACAGGTGGGAGAGGGAGCGGGACTCCCGCAGGGACCGGGACAGGTGAGAGAGGGAGCGGGACTCCCGCAGGGACCGGGACAGGTGAAGGGCGGGGGAGTGCGTGGCCGCAGGGAGGGCTGGGGGAGGCCAGGGAGGACCAGGCCTCCAGGGCAGCCAAGGAGGCCATCAGTGAATTCCGTGTGCCGGCCACTGACCATTCCGGCGGCACGGCGCTCTTGCCCGCCAAGAAAAGGTAATTACGTGGACTTAAATTTGAGAAAAATGTATGGGTATGTTGTCCAAAATGTGACGCACAGTCTTGCCCAGCGCATGAACATAGAGGTGGCGTAGCAATGATATGTGCATTTACCGATCGAACTAGGTCAGGATGACCCACACCAGGGCAAAAAGTGCATTGCTGTTCGGACATACTCTTGTGTCCATTGATTTTTATCTACTCAGATGTTCCTTTCCTCTTATCAAAGTAGGTGCCCATTACCATGGACCACTTGTTCATAAACGCCCATTAATCATCGTTACGATTATTTAGATGTTAGTATCCCTGCTGGCATAACTGCATTTCATTAAACTTTCTTTAAAATTTGTAGCAAACTCATGGAAGAAAACTTCTACACGGAATGCTACCCCGATATGGCAGAGATGCACGATGCTATTGATGATTCTGATGATGAGGCTGACTACACTAAGATGGACTTGGTGAGTAATTTGACTCTATTGCTAATCATTGATTTTGAGATTAATTTATGTATACAGGTTCCGATAATATGTTGTAATCTCTTTGTATATTTAACATGCTGATTTATTCATGCATTTCCCGTTATGAAGAGCCAATCGTTATGTAGCCAAGATGAATTTTTCATGCCGACTTGAGCGTACAAAATTCGGTGACAAATCTGACTGAAATTTTCAGCATATAGAATGCTTAAATAAGAACAGAAAGTAATGTTTATTTGTAATTATAGTGGATCATTGCTTAACATGAAGATTCAGTCACGTTTTTTTTCAAGATTTCCTGACATTTTTCCTTAAGCTTTTTCTACTCAATTGAAAATGCCTATTTTATAGTCTACAGTTTTATCACTTCATCTTTGGTTAAAATTTTTTGTCTGGTTTGATAATCACGTCAACTAGCGAGGACAGATACGTTAACAATTTTTCTTTAGTCTAATGATCAGGACAACTGTAAAGTAGCCATACGTTTACATTTTGTCTTGTTTTATGATCAGGGCAACAAGAAAGGTCCCATAGGGCGGTGGGACTTCGACACGACGGAGGAATACAGTGACTACATGAACCAGAAAGAAGCTCTCCCTAAAGCGGCTTTCCAGTATGGCGTCAAAATGGCTGATGGCCGGAAAACTAGAAGAATACCAGGTAGGTATCATTATTAATACACATAATATGTATTATTTAAATATGTAACAATATTTATTTATGTATTATGTATATGTATTGTCATAACAACGTGTTCGCGCAGGGTCGCGCGAGAAAGACCGGAACGCTGAGCTGAGCCGCGAGTGGCAGCAGATACAAGCCATCCTACAGAAGCGGAAGGGAGAGGCGGACCTCGGGCCCCCGTGAGTGAAGGAGGCGTGTGGGGACATTAGCGACATGTAGGGACGTGTGGTGACATATAGAGGCGTATGGAGACGTGTGGTGACATGTAGGGGCGTATTGAGACAGGTGACATGTAGGGGCGCTTGGAGACTGGTGACATGTAGGAGCGTATGGTGACGTGTGGCAAAATTGTGCTTTATTTTATTCGTATCGGTACGTATAACTATGTCCAGTATTGGCACTCGATTGTTTTTCTCGAAGTCCGTGGGTTTTTCCACTAATTCGTATTTTGGTGACTGACTTCAAAATATTATTTACTTTGGAAGATCATCGTCCTTAATCGATCTTCTTCATACTACTACTAGTTAATATTAATACGTTAATTTACAAATCATTATCTTGCTATATTTACGTGTAATCATGTTAATTATTTGTTTTGTTTTCAGAGAAAAGCGGTCCAAATATTGAGGACTTCGAGGACGAAAACCAGCTATGCCGAACCACAATTTATTTCTGTTGTACAGATACGGAACTCCTCCTGAAATACTATTCACAGTATAATCTTACATCGAAAAAGATATTTCGTTTTTGTATAATTTCAGTAGCCATTAAGATTATTATTTAATAGGAACGAGAGTCTTTGTATTTATTTATCCTCGCTGTTTCTTAATAAATCCGAGCCTTGAAATTAGCGATAATGTTTGAGCCTAGAAAACGATTTTATAAGCAAATACGACACTTGCAGGTGCAGTAAGAAGCTATCAGAAAATTAGCGAAAATTACCAACTTCTTCACGAACTTAAAAAGAAGGGTAACCAATGGGGCAAAATTAATGCATACGTCAATAAGCAGTTGCTGTATCTGAAGATCTAAGCCTTCAATATGCGTAACACATTGCTATAAGTACCATCTATGTGGATGAAGGGTGACTCATTTGAAGTTGATCATTTAAATTTACATCGCATAGAATTTTCCCAAGCATTCGGAAGGCAGTGTGAAATATGAAGAAACAATTCATCGTTCATTATGCCTGTTGAGCTGATGATTCAATACGGCGGCTGGCAATCAAATTGGACGCCCTTCCGGCAACTCCTGCAGTCAAGTTGGCTAAATACGCAACAGTTCATCACATTAGGTACAGTCGGAACGATCAAGTGTGAGATCCTGTTGTTTGGGTAGTGCAAGATACTCGTACTTTTGACCAGAGAACGTCGCCTTCATCACTTGAAGCCGTCCGTATCCAGGCCGTAGATCGAACCAGCCCATGTGCACGGCTGTGCTCCCATGCAGTTCCACTGGCGAGATGGGCTGGTTGGTACTTGGTCGCAGTACGAGCTAAAGTCTGGGTATGAAGTGATGGTTCCTGTCATGGGGCCACATTGGACTGGTCTTCAGAGGCTCCCGCAAATCTGAAATGAAACGAAGTGATGGTTGGATGCAACAACGTTCAGTGGTGTTCCGGTGGACAATCATTACACTCAGGGCTATTCACTTCAGAATATGGTGTCGTAAAGCTCCTAATATTAATATATAAAGCAAGATGATCATCATCTGATGATGTCATGGGCAGATAGGCTGGTTGCCAACTTCAGGGTTAATACGTGGCTCATTGGTGCCTGGTGCCTGTCACTGCCTGGTGGTCTTCTGGAAATATGCTAGGCGAGTAGGCGTTCTTTTCAGGGGCCAGCCTGCCAGGGCTAATTAGTGCAAAATTTTAGTAATTGCCTAATTGTTGGTGCATGCAATTTGAAGGCCTTCTGAAGTTCTGAGAGTGCTATTTGTTAAGGATGTGGCACTTACTGTGACTTAGTAGCCTACTTCATAAGGCAATGCCAGTTATTGGGCTGCTGGAATGCTTTAATACACTCTTCACAGTCTCTTGTAAGTTGTAACTTGTAAGCTGTTCCACTCCTTTGAGGCTATTGGAGAGCAACAAGCAAGCTGTTGCTGGATTTGGATTTGGATTTGGGGCGTGGTGAGTGGTGACTCTGAGAAAAAGAATTTCAGGGTCAGGCCTTTGCAACGGCCATCAGCCACGCATCACATTTTCATTTGTTAGTAAGAAGAAGAAAAGGGAGACCNCACTTGCATGTCAGCTGAAGCGTGTGCACGATGTGAACCGGCCTGTCTAATGACCACATCATTGCAGACGTTCGAAAGACCGTAATGGCACATCGCAGACATAATTTGCGTAAAATGCAGCCAATACCCTCATGCCAGAGTTAGATTAGCGAGCCGCTCGGGAGTCGAGACGCTATCATCAGGAAGTTCGATGTACGAAGACAACTGGTGTGCAACCATTGTCTTGCGAGATGGACGGATGATACATCCTCGCTGTTTGGTGCCTGCCACTCGGTCAACTGATATTTTTTACGTTTCGTTCTGATAATTACCACGTTTTTCTTAGCTCGCTTTCGTGTCTGTGATGATCAAATCTTGCAATCGATATTTCACCAACTTTCCCGCTAGCTAGCGCTTTGAAACTTTTAAGGAAGCTCAGCTCCCGATAACAATACAGTTATCAATAATTTGTTGCACGTTTCCAGGCGTATAAACTCTAAAGGATGTAAAATATTTTAACTGAAATACAAAAGACCAAGAGAATGAAAGCAAACAGAGATCAGTAGCTGCCAAAAAATTATTTTCTACTTTTGAGTCCACATGAAAAACGTGGTCTTTAAAAATTTTTTTATACATTTTATTTATATCATGCGTGCTAGTGATTAATTTAGACTTCCGTCTAACCCTTTCATTTAACGTAAATATTACTCCTATCTGGAAATATAAGTGATCTAGAAAATTACGACGCTGCAATAATAAAACTCCGATAATATCAGAGATATTTTTGGCGATGGCCAACGCATGGTCACTTGGGAAATTCTTCTTCACAGAATGTAGTCCTAACTTTTATGTTTGGTCTAAGTAGGTAAAATTATAAATTGAACCCATTAATAAACTCCAGAATTTTCGATCAAAATCATGATGCAACCCCTTAAAAACATGATTGGATGACAAAAAGGAAATTGTACGTAAGTCGGGTAGAGAATTCATAGCATAAATGAAGACGGAATTATCATGAATCAAAAGTGATCATGCATGATGAATGCACGTGTTGTATCATTTATGTCATTTTTTAATTTGAAATAACATTAGTTTTAGCCATGGCCTGATTTCTTCAGTGCCGACATCTTTATTCTATTCTATACAACCTACCTACGTTGATAACTGTAGCAAATGTTTTGTTACCTTTTCAGTTGGCGATATTTTTTTGTAAACTTGTAAGAAAGATTAAAATTACACTGTTTAATAATTGATGACGTCCTCACTTTTCAGCTTATTTCCGATTGCGAATTTTCCCTTCTATTTAAAAAGAGTTCAAGAAAGAGATTAAACTTGAAGTTTGCCTCGTTTCCAATCTTCTCAATCAATCTGTCAACTACATGGCAGTATTTGGCATCTAAGCGGTTATGGTGAGGCTGAGTGAACGCGGGAAAACTTGTAGAAAGAAACAGAATTAATCGCTTCTAAGCCAGTCTTGAGCGATACTTGCTAAGGTGAGGAGCGGCCGTTGACGTTGAGTGACATGGGACGTGGAAATCCGTGATTTTAAAATTCGTTCCACCGATGCCAATATTTGGAAGTATTTTTAAATAGAACTACTGGATATCTAAACTGTTTGCCGCCACCAATATTTTAATTAATCGCCTTTCGACACCTGCCCGTAGTCTGTGTCTCCGATTCGTTGTAACAAGCGTAGGGAAAATGCCGGCCGTAAACGGCAAAATTACGGTAAGCATTGACGTGTGGAATTGAAATCTTCGGTTCTAATCTTTTCTTTTTATTATTCATTCACGATTATTAAATAAAAATTTGTAGCTTTGTTGTTGGTGTTTGTGGTGCTACTTTATGCTCGAATGACCTGTGGATATTGTAATGCCTTTGTGAATTGTGACTGGCGATGCATGTTGGACTTGAAACTTTTTTAGCACTCGTCGGTAAAACATCATGTGTTTTACTTCTGAAATAAGGTGTTTTTTTGCGGGTTTCAAATTCTAGTTGGCTTAGGACTTAGGTTGCACTACCTAACCTATATTGCATCATTAATTTCTGCAAATTGAGGCGTTGGTAAGCACTACCGGAGCATCACGTTGACGTATTCACAATCGCGTTTTTTTTCATCGTGGCAGAAAACTGCATTCAGTACTCAATAACTATAATAGATCTCCGGCCCCACAATCTAAGCTAGCCCTATTGTAGTTGAATAATATTTCGATGCAAAATGATATAAATTAATATTTATTGATGACCCAAATTAAATTATAATGCTTTTACTCTATTCTATTTCCTTTGCTGTTTGCGATGGAGGCATGTTGCCCAGCTGCAGCGATGGCCGTTTCTTGTGGTCACGTGACCAAGCGGGAGCCTGTATTTATGAAAATTGCGCTTTGGCTACAATCCGCTACATAACTGTAAATTACCACCAAAAAAGCTCTGGCCTAAAATAAATGTACATAAATCAATCATTGATTATTTCCATCATTCATTTTGTGTATTTGTTGTTGATGAAACTGGATTAAATATGTTAGTTTTTATAGCGTGAACACAGTTCGATGCGTTTACGCGAAACCTTTCCGAGTTGCCACAAACCACTGGAATTCAAATTCTAGCGGGAAATGATCAAGGATGCAACTCATAAAGCTTTTAATTTGTTTTTAAAAGCACTTAGGCTTACCTAGAAAAGACGTGTATTTGTATTGTTTGTATTAAATTTTTAAAAGACCCTTCTAATGACGTAACTGTGCTTGATCAATTAATGTTTTACATTAAGATTTTTCTGCCAATCACTTCAATTTTATTTTTCATTATTTAATGTTGAAGCCTCCTAAATCTAGCCTGCTGCTCGAACTTGAGAATGAATTTATTTTCTTCTTTTGTCCTGGTAATGCCGGTATGGGTAGTTGGGTATAATTCTTGTAGAAGTGGTGGTTTAGGAATTGAATAAATTTAAATTTTAAAAATTCAGATAGATTCTGGATTAATACAAATGTGAAGATTTATTAATATGTTGAATGAGCATTTTTTAACCTTTCAAAATTGAAATTTTTTTCTGGAACTTCCACAGGCTACAGTTCAGTTGTAACAAAAATTTTTTTTTAATTCTATCATTTACAATTAACAATTATAGAAATGTCTCCTGGGGCTGAAAATCTGAAATAATCTGTTACTGCTCCGCCTGACATACCGGACTGCGGGAATGATCAAAGCACATCCTATTTATGAAAAATAATATTTTAACATTTAGCATCTGACCCGTACTTTGTAGTTGCTCATTTTTTTTTTTTTTTTTTTTTGAAATCTTAGTTCAAATGGTGCCGCACTGGCGCTGACTGCCAGCAATCCATTATTTGCGGGTTTTAGTAAATTATTTAGCTCCTAAATGATGTATTTAATTCATTTAATAATATAATTTGCAATCAAAGACAAACAGTCAGCTTGAATTTTCTTATTAAATGTAAAATTAACTTCAAATAAATAATATAAATTTAATTTTTTTGTAATTTGATATTTAGAATGAATATAATTTGACTGTCTTTATAAGTGTCAATGTCAAAGTATCGGAGCCTGCTGAGCAAGTTGCCATTTTAAAGGCTTTGCCCAGCCACCATTGGAACATGCTCTAGACTCTAGAAGACTAGAATGTCTAGAATGGAAGGCAGGAGCCAGCAATTTATGGTGAGTGAAGCTAGAGTATAGACCTGTATTTTGCATGTTTCAATTCAAGTTTAATTTAGCTAGTAAGAAAATGACATCATTTATAAGAAAAAAAGTGGTCTAAGTTACCCCATTTTACGGTACCAGACTTATTCTTGTTGAGTTTAACGCAAATAATAAACTATAAATGAGACTTTATCATATTTATATATTATAGAACAGTGGTTCCCAAACTTTTCCAGGCTGGTGCCCCCTTTGACTCCCTAGTGAATTTCTAGCGCCCCCCACAGACACATATAAAAGCATATGGTGATTTTTAGCTTGTAAACATTTTTCGATTTTACCTTCTTTGCAAGTTTTTTTTTTCACCATCATTTTTGATTTCACACTTCCTTCTATTGGGCCTGTATCGCTGAGTAATTTGTCACTTAAATTTGCGGCGATCAAAAAATTTCTTCTAAACTACTGAACAGATTTCTACAAAACTTTGCATATAAATACCAAACCTCCCAACAGTGATGTTTAACTCATGACAATTTTTCAATTTTGCTTTTTTTGTGAGTTATACAGATACCGTACAGGAGAAACATCTGGCTTTTCTACCAGCCGGTTTAACCAAGAGCCATTTACGTATAGCCGTATAACCCGCAAACAAAGGCAAAATTGAAAAAAAAATGTAACGAGCTAAACATCACCGTTGCTGAGGTTAGATATTTAAATACTGAGTTTTGTTCAAATCTGTTCAGTAGTTTGGAAGAAATTTATTGACTACTGCAAATTTAAGCATGTATTGCTGTTTAAATCACAAATGAAGGTGTAATGGAGAAAAAACTTGCAAACCAAGGCACTATCAAAAAAAATTTCGCAAGCTAAACATTACCGTTTGGTAGTTAGACTGTAGATTCAAAATTTTCTTCAAATCTACTTAGTAATTACTTGATCACTGTGAATTTTGGCCTGTATTGCCATATAACTGTGGCAAAAATAAATGAAGGCAAAATTCAAAAAAATTCACAAGCTAAACATTACCGTTAGTAAGACGTAAACCCAGGAGGTTAAAGAAACAGATCTGAGCAAAAAAAAACCATCACTGGGAGTCATGTGCTGCACATGTTGTGTATAAATCATCAAACGGACATTTGAACTTCTGACTTTCACTTCGGACTGCTGCCCCCCTTTACTGCTCCCCTTCTGCCCTTTTTCATTGCCCCCCAAAATCTTTCCAACACCTTTAGGGGGCAATATTGCCCACTTTAGGAACCACTGTTATAAAATGTTCATTTTATATAAGTTCAAAACTGCATAACTCGATAATTATTGCATGTACATATGTGATATTTGCTTTATTGAATGCACGTTGTTTGTAGCTTTCAAACAAGTGCAAACACTTTGCAATTGATGCAAGTAATGATCCATAAATAGCATTTTGAAATAAAATTTGTAAATATTGTTATAAAATGGTCATTTATAAAAGTTGGAAACTGCATCACGCAGAAAATATTTCATGTACATCCATTGCAGTAGCTTTGTTGAATGCATCTTGTTTGTATCTTTCTAACGAGTGGTAACACTTTGAAATTAATGAGAGTAAGGAACTATATATACAGATTTGTTTTAAAAAAATCTTTATACATGTTGTTAAAAAATGTTAATTTTATACATTTTTAAAATTGCTTTGCGCACAAACTAGAGCATGCACATACATGCGGTTATTATGTTAGATGCACCTTTTTAGCAGCTATGAAATGAGCCAAGAAAATGGAAAAGCCAAATATTCAATTTTTCACCCGGCTGGTCCCCTTAATTCGTAGTAAATGTTTTAAGATTGAATAATTAATACTTGTTATTGTTGAACATCAACAAATAAGATAGTGACAGAGTAATTTTGTTCTATATTAATTTTCTCATATGGCTGTAACAAATAGAAAACTTTCCACAAATAGACTTGGTTGCAGACTAGTGATGGAGGAATTCACGTGATGCGAGTTTTCACACTTTTCTTGAAAATTCTCATTCCAGGCAATGAATATCACTTGTAGCAACACATATCTAGTACTTGACTTTAGCAATCAATGTCAAGTGACTTCTGTAAACCATGCATTTGATTGGACCAATTGGTCTGACAACAATTTTGAGTGACCTGTATTAGACAAATTATAATTTATTTAACAATTATCATAAGTAAGCACAAAATAAATCTAATGAATAGGACCATCTGCCACTGATTGAAATTCAAATTGCATTTATTTTTTTGCATGTGCACAGCAAATGTGGAGAAATGCACTATTTAAATTTCTGAAAACAGCATAAAAAGTATGAACAATTATTAGACCACTATTGAAAGTAACCTCTACACTAAACATATAATAATTCAAATTCATCTCTCAAATATAAAAGGGAACCATCTCTATCTAACATGAACCCCATTCTACTTCATCAAGTTACCTTAAGTAGTTGAATAGATATGGCTACTTCCATCTTTTAAAAAAATGCAGTAGAGTGTAAACTTTGTTGTCTGTGTCAAAACTTTCATTTGATTGCTCAAATATAAATTTCTTTATCCTTGCCAAGACCTGAAGGCAATGCAATGCATGGAAAAATGATTAGATGGATAGTGGTTGACAGAGGTATGATAATGCAGCCTTGAACACAAACCTGGGATGCACTGAATATCATTGGAAGGAGATTTTAGGCAACCATAGATATATCGTAATATACCCACCAAAGAGTTAACCTGTATTTACTACCTCGAGGTGCTAACCTTTCATTTAAACTCATTCTCATGCAAATCCCTTGAAAGAAACTTATCATGCTTCACAATAATATGGACTTCTTTGTGCAGGCAAGGAATAGAGGGCAAAATTTTATACCGGTATGTAGTTGGTTAACTTATTAAAGCATATTTTTATCATCAAAAATATTAATTGTATAAACAGACTGCTTCCAAAGTTCACAGGTGCTGGCAGCCAAGTTAGAGATAGAAATAGAGTTCTGCAATCTGTCCTTACTTTACATTTGTTAAAGTAAAACTTTGAGCTCAAGTGTTTGAAAGAAAAGAAAAAGTATTGCCAAAAACTCGAGTCTGCAGTCAGTAAAACATTACATAGATGAAGAACAGAGATTTCCATGTATGTATTTGGAATTGAAATTTTTGTTTACAATGTAAATAAGATAAAACATTTATCAATTTCAGTATAATACAGCTAATATACCAAGTACAACGGATGATAGAGGAATAGCATAGCAGCACCCACAGCATGCTTGTTAGACAAATTTGACAACTCTACTTCTACCCCTATCTTATAGCAATTCAGGTAGAAATTACTTAGATTTTACAAAGAAAATTTAGAAACCATGTCATTGCATGGTTTCCACATGCAATGACAGGTTAAAAAACTATGTTTAGATTTTAATTTGTTTTATTTTTCCAGGATATGCTCATGCCAAAGGTAGACAAGCCTGCCAGCGATGACTCATCGAATGCAGTTCAAGCTGCAGAACCTGCAGGAAAGAAGAGGACTGTGGAAAAGACATACCAAAAGAAGACCCAGCTTGAACATATCATCCTCCGCCCTGATACCTACATTGGTGTGTGAACTCTTGAGCCAAGTCAAACGTATTCTAAATACTTACATATTAATTTAATATTACTTTCTACTGAACTTTTGTTCTATTATTGTGTTGCAACTATTTCTAGTTATTTTCTCATGGCTACACTCTCCTTTCTTGAAATATTATTTATACAAATCAAGTATTCCATCTATGAATCAGCTGATTTTTGCTATGTATGCAATGACAATGATTACTTTCTACTTTTTGCAGGATCTGTGGAAAAGGTGACAGAGCAGATGTGGGTTTTTGACACAGCTGATGAGAAGTTTGTGCAGCGGGAGATCACTTATGTTCCTGGTCTCTACAAGATATTTGATGAAATCCTTGTCAATGCTGCTGATAATAAGCAAAGAGATCCAAAAATGGATACCATCAAGATAGAAATTGATGCGTGAGTTATACATTTCTTTTGTAAAGGTCACTTAATTAGTCATATGCTGGATTTAAAATGCTTTATAAATTTAATGATAATAATGTCATGAATGCCTTCTAATGTGTTGGGGAAAAAAATCTGCACCTATGAGTTGGATATTGTGCTATTCCAGCATTTGTTTACATTAGCAAAAGAAGTTTCATTTTAATGTTGAATTGTTGACTGGTCTCTAGCTGTGAATAAAATATTCGCGATCATAAATACATGCATTGTGCTCACAATCTGGGAGTTGTTCAGACCACTCCTCATTACAAATGTAAGAGATCAGATGCATGGTAATGTAAATGACTTTTTAAAGTGGAATTTCAAAAGATATAATGAACATTAATTCTTAATAACTTAATTAATTTTCCAATGTGAGTGTAATTTATCTCTCACTCACATGCATAATATTCAAATTTAATGTCAAAACCATTTTTTGAGCTACAGTTTTCCTCTTGTATATATGTATCTGAATTCGAGCCTCATTCCAGGGAGAACAACGTGATCTCTGTCTATAACAACGGTCATGGCATTCCTGTGGTGATGCACAAGGACGAAAAAATGTTTGTTCCTACAATGATCTTCGGCCACCTGCTCACTTCTTCCAACTACAACGACGATGAGAAGAAAGTCACGGGTGGTCGTAATGGCTTCGGGGCTAAACTCTGCAACATCTTCAGCACCAAGTTCACCGTTGAGACAGCAAATAAGGAGTACAAAAAGAACTTCAAGCAGGTGTGCACTGTCATCTTTAAATTTTGTTACACCTGCTTCCATATTCAACAAAATTACCAACAATGTCTTTTTTTTTAAATAGAATTCCTTTTACATTTTTACTCAATATGTCTAATAACTGCTGTTGATAAATGTTCTAATTATCAGCTTTTGTTTGTGGGGTTCAATCTACTTGTCCAAGTGTCTATGCTTCAAAACCCGCCGATTTTGTTTAAAAAAAACTAAATCACTTTTTAAATATTTAACGGACCATGAATTATTGAAAATTTACAAATATTGTGTGTCCATACATAAACAAAGTTTCAACATTAGTTAAACCATTAAAAGCAATAAATTAACAGAAACGAGAATTTTCTCCATTTTAGCTCATATATGGCATGCAGTGAAAGAAATTGAAGTATAGGTACAAGCGTACAACATTTAATATAAAATATGTACATATTTTCCATAGCTGCAAGTTTGACCCTTTTACTTGAATTCATTTCTAAACAGACTTGGGCGGTGAACATGTCCAAAGCTTCAGATCCCAAGATCAAAGACTTCACTGGAGAGGAGTACACGAAGATAACATTCTCGCCCGACCTGGCCAAGTTCGGCATGGACTGTCTGGACCGAGACACGGTCGATCTTCTCAGCCGACGAGCGTACGACGTTGCTGCGTCTTCTACGGGGGTTAAAGTCTATCTCAATGGGAAACGAGTGCCGGTATGTTTCGATCTTGAATATTTCCTAAAGCTTTATTTTCCCTAACGCCTTGATCATTTTTCATTCACGGGGGTTAAAGTCTTTCTCAATGGGAAACGAGTGCCGGTATGTTTCCATCTTGAACCTTTATCATTTTTTTCTTTTCATGCCATTATCATTGCTCTGTTTCATGCATCACTGCCTTTTTTTTGCTTTTCCCGTTAATTAATATGAATTGTTTTATGTGCACCGTAGTAATGAGTGCCTTATAATTTTCAACCTGAATTTGAAGGTTCCTGGTTGAGGCTTGTGATTAAATAAATTTGATGTATTCCGTAGTTTCTTTTTGCCAAGGGGAGTTGTGACAAAGAAAAAGAGCAAGTATTTTTCTGATGAGAGTTTAGTTTATAATAAAATGTTTCTGCCCTTTATCTGTAATGCATTTTAAACGCTTACTAAGTTATTTGCATCTCATTGCCTTCTAATATTGTGTTTTTTTTTTTTTTTTTTTTGCCTGATCCTCCTGAAGTAATTTCTGTCTTAAATTTTAGTCCTTAGAAAAATATTTTTATGACGTATTTATTATTTCTGCAGGTGAAGTCGTTCAAAGACTATGTTGAACTGTACATCAAGGATCGCACCGACGATGCCGGTGCTCCTCTCAAAGTTGTGTATGAGAAGCCCGGACCTCGCTGGGAGGTGGCGGTCACCATATCAGAGAAAGGCTTCCAGCACATGTCTTTCGTCAACAGCATTGCCACAACAAAGGTAATCATTTACACTTATCATTATGCACCCTAAGCTTACTATATTTCAAACGCTAAATTACACACTCCCACAAACCCAGCCAAGTTGATCCCGTTAAAAATTTGTAGTGTGATCTTGGTAATTTCATAGAAAACCACGAAACGGCGAGAAAGTCTCGATCTTTGCTGGTCTTTTAAAGAATTCTCAAGCGTATTGTAACATTCACCAGATTTTGATCATTGTATCTACTTCTTGCCAACAGCTTATTCAATTATTCCCTATTTTCTCATCACAGGGAGGTCGCCATGTGGATTATATTACGAACATGATTGTGAACAGTCTCACAGAGACTCTTTCCAAGAAGAACAAGAGCGGAGTTCAAATCAAGAATTTCCAGGTAAGCCAAGTTTCTATCTTTCTGAACTGACTTACCTTGCAAATTTCTAAATCTTGATCAATATGTTCCCCTCTCTGAAGAGCCAAGAACTTGTTATACTATGTTTACTATTGCCCATGATTTGTACCTATATAGGGCATGCCAACATTATATATTATTTGCATATCTTCTCTGAGCATTTCTTCTTATGAAATTTGCAAGATGCTGCTTTGTAAATTTTCTTGCGTTTCCTACAGATCAAGAACCATCTATGGGTTTTTGTCAATGCTCTCATTGAAAATCCTACATTCGACTCGCAAACAAAGGAAAACATGACACTGCAACAGAAAAGCTTTGGCTCAAAGTGTACTCTGTCTGACAAATTTGTTGCTGCTGTGGTTAAATCTGGCATCGTCGAGACCGTTATGGCTTGGGCTAAGTTCAAGCAGCAAGCTCAGCTCGAAAAGAAGTGTGCTGGTAAGAAAACCTCGAAGCTTAAGGGGATTCCCAAGCTTGAGGACGCCAACGATGCAGGCACGCGTTCTTCGTCGGAATGCACGTTGATCTTGACTGAGGGAGATTCAGCCAAGACTCTTGCAGTGGCAGGCCTTGGTGTTGTCGGGCGCGATAAGTACGGAGTCTTTCCCCTAAGGGGTAAGGTGCTCAACACGCGTGAAGCAACCGTCAAACAAATGATGGAGAACGCCGAGATCAATCACATCATCCAAATCGTGGGACTTCAGTACAAGAAAAAGTACGAAACCGTGGATGATCTGAAAACGCTTCGCTACGGGAAGCTCATGATCATGACTGATCAAGATCAGGACGGTTCTCACATTAAAGGTTTGATCATAAACTTCATTCACCATAACTGGCCTTCTCTGCTGCGCTTGAATTTTCTGGAGGAATTCATTACGCCGATCGTGAAAGCCACGAAAGGGAAAGAAGAGATAAGCTTCTATTCCCTCCCCGAATACGAAGAATGGAAGTCAAATAAAGATAACTGGCACACCTACAAGATAAAGTACTACAAAGGTATTTCATTCATGCATTGTTGTTGCTCTTTGACGGGCCTTGACTCTCGCTTCCTGCAGCATATTTCTATACTGATGTCGCTATCATCCTTTCAGTGCTGATATGCTATTTGTCTAACTGAGCATCACTTAGCTTGATCGGCTTTAGTTTACTTTGAAATGCGTGTTATCTTAATTATTCGTATAGATTGGTTCAACGATCATTTGGCATGTGATCCTAAATTAGGTGTGATTTGCTTATGACGACAACCAAGAACGAGCCATTTAACCTGGATAATAATTACGATTTCTTGTTCTACAGGTTTGGGTACTTCTACGTCAAAAGAAGCCAAGGAGTATTTCTCTGACATGGTCCGTCACAGAATCAAGTTCAAATATGAAGGTGACCAAGACGACCGCAGCATCCAGATGGTGAGAAGAATTCACTAGCGAGTGAAGTGTCTGCTACTCGTATTTTACTTTGAGCATATTAAATTTTTCCATCTGTTTCTGTAGTTTGCTTCAATAATTGCCCTTCTTATTTTCTTGCATAGTTTCATTTGAAAAAACTTATTAACTATTTTTTTTTATTGTAATATTCTTGATCCTGTAGAGTACAAAAATTATGGTTCCTAGTCGCTATTTTTAGCTCATTTTCTCATTTATGGGAAAAAAGGCGCTATTGTGCTCACCATGTCCGTCTGCTGTCTTTCTGTCCGTCCGTGACTTCACGTTTTCGTCGACGAGAAAATGCGCTCTCTGTCACTCACTGCAGTGATTACTGAGTTATATTTTTTTTTTTACAGGCGTTCAGCAAGAAAGCAGCTGATCAGCGCAAAGAGTGGCTTACTGCCTGGATGCTGGAGTGCAAGCGGCGCCGTGAGTTGGGGCTTCCTGAGATCTACCTCTACGAGAAGAACACTCACTCTGTGAACTACTCGGACTTTGTGAACAAGGAGCTGGTGTTGTTCTCTAACGCCGATAACGAGCGTAGCATCCCATCGCTCGTGGACGGCTTCAAACCTGGACAAAGAAAGGTACTCAGTGCGAATAGTTTGGGGGTGATCTTTACCTTATTTGTTTTTATTCTGTAGAAGAAGCGGAGGTTTAGTTGCAAATCTTTGCTGACGAGTTCCTTAAATGCTTTCATACTTTGTTGAAAAAAAGCAACAAACGATTATTCTATGTATCTTAATTCAAGTAAACTTCACATTATATTGTGACCTTCTAAGATAATTTGCCAAATTTGATCTTTGAAATTCCAATTACTGTCGTTTGCAGGTGATGTTCACATGCATCAAACGTAACGACAAACGCGAAGTGAAGGTGGCGCAACTTGCGGGCAGCATCGCCGAGCACACGGCCTACCACCACGGCGAGGTGTCGCTCATGTCTACCATAATAAACTTGGCTCAAAACTTCGTGGGTTCTAACAACATTAACCTTTTGGAGCCCATCGGTCAGTTCGGCACCCGCCTCATGGGCGGAAAAGATGCAGCCAGCCCTCGTTATATCTTCACTAAACTGTCACCGCTTGCCAGGGCTTTGATCCACCCTCATGACGACCCCCTGCTCAAGTATCTCCAGGAGGACAACCAGAAGATTGAGCCTGAATGGTACATGCCTATCATCCCACTCGTGCTCGTGAATGGAGCTGAAGGTATCGGCACTGGCTGGAGCACCAAAATCCCGAATTACAACCCCAGAGAAATAGTCGATAATATCAGAAAGATGATCCGAGGAGAAGAGCCCAAAGATATGGTTAGTTTGCTATATAAGGTTAAGTTTATTGTAATTGATCTGATTTAGTTACAATTAATAAAAATAATAGTTAACAACAAATTAAATCTATCAAAATTTATTTGATCGATTCCATTTATATTTTTATTATTGTTTTGCTTCCTTGCTAATCGAGGTATGTTAGATTTCCCGACTACATCAGCGTGCAAGGTATTGTTTTTCTAACAGCATTTTATTTCCTCAGCTTCCTTGGTTCAAGAACTTCAGAGGCACCGTGGAACAGCTTGATGCCACACGCTACCTGTGCAGTGGGGAGGTGGCGCGTCTCGAGGACAACCAATACGAGATCAGTGAACTGCCCATCCGTACCTGGACTCAATCCTACAAGGAAAACGTCCTCGAGATCCTTCAAGGAAACGACAAAATCCCCCCCATTATCAGGTGGGCTTTCTATTCTACCATGTGTATTATGGGCGTTCTATCGAGCCATTTTCTTTCAATCTCCATGTGAACAATATCTGGCTGTCAATTCACCAATGCATTTTGTGCAAAATGTTTAGACTGTGTTGTTTTCTTGAACTGTAATTGACTGTCGAGAAACGACTAACTATTCATTTCCATTTCCATGGTACACATCCTAAGGGAAAATTTTTAACTATGAAATTGCAGAATGGGCGCAATTGCAAAAAAAAACATGGGAGAAGTGAGCTTGTCTATAATTGTATGCATTAAAGGCAGTTAACCTATAGAGTTTTTTTTTTTTTAATTTAGAATTTGGCTTACTTTGAACGTAGATAAATAAGAATTGTGACTCGATTTTTCAGTGACTACCGCGAGTACAACACCGACACTACCGTTCGCTTCGTCCTGAATGTGCTGGACAACCAAGTTAGGCACGTCGAAGCTGAAGGACCTCATAAGATCTTCAAGCTTCAGTCCAGCATGTCCATCAACACAATGGTGAGACGATCAACTATATATTTCATCAGGCATCTTCCCTCCTCATCATTGCTATCCGCAATGCTATCAGATGTAGAATACAGTGATTCATTTGTGGGTGTTGATATTGGTGAAAAAAAAATCATGCAAGTTGAGACTGACAAAGCTCTTCTGTTTATTATTTATGCCTTGTTGGTTTTTATCTTAACCCGTCCACTAATTCACATTCGTATACCCGTCCACTCATTCTCATTAGCGGAAACCTTGGTCTTTCACGAAATTCTAGTATTGTCACAGGTGTCAGCTGCATTGGTCGTCCGCTAACATAACCACGGCCTCACTCTCAGAGGCAACCTATACGCCGTTAGCTTTACTCAAGTCTATGACTATAGTTATTGGCTACGCAGCTAAATTATTCAACTATTATTTCCCTAAAGAATCTCGCGGTGTAGCCGGTGAGGAGATACTCGTAGGGGATGAATATCTTTTGATTCATCGTTGTTTTTATGTCTGTTGAGAATGAACTGGTGCTTGCTGCTTTCAGTGCTGTATAAGCAAAAAATTTTCTCATCCTAGCAAAATTAGTACGGCTAGCATGCTAGTTCAAAAATTAATTAATAAATAAAAATTAAGATAATTTTGAAATGAAGTTGAAGTAACGTCATGGAGGTATATAAGGGAACAGTCTAATGCGATTAAGAAATTTGCTTACCTTGCACGGTCTTTTGAATTTGTTATCTAATCACTCGGGTTTCGTGGTTCCCTTGTAGAGATCTTGAACTGTTCTCAAAAAATTGTAAATGGTGTGTGGTAAGATTCCTATTTGGGTATTTGCTGGTATTTTCATTCTTATTCCGTGTATGTCAACGGAAGTAAGGAACAGGCTATAAAATAAAATGTGTAAACGGGTTGATGCTTTTTATATATCCTATGTTCATACAACTATTATTTTTTATTTGTATTGAATGTCCTTTTCATGCATTTTTTACTGATGCACTCCGCGTTTCCTAATCCAAAATTGACACCAGGTTCTTTTCGATGCGAACGGTGTGTTGAAACGCTACAACAGCGTCATGGATGTACTGCAAGAGTTCTACGAGCTGCGTTTGAAGTTCTACGAAAAGAGGAAGCTATACATGGTCGGCATGCTCAAAGCTGAAGCCAACAAGCTATCTAATCAGGTGAGTATTTCAGCTTCCCCTTTTATAGTTCAGACTACAATAGCACGAATCAAATTTTATCTCCTGGGCTCAATACCCTAAAGATGTATGAGCAGAAAAATCTTTCAGTAGTTTGTCATAACCAACTTTTTTAACTTTACTTTGTTGTTCTCAGGCTCGTTTCATCAAAGAGAAATGTGAAGGCAAGCTGGTAGTGGAGAACAAGAAGCGTAAGGACATGATCAACGAGCTCATCACTAAGGGGTACGAGAGCGATCCTGTCAAGGCGTGGAAAAAGTCGCAGAGCAGAGAGGCTGCCGTTGTGAGTTATGACCAGGGTTCATTGACGCTAACAACTAAGCTCATGAATGAAATTCCCATACATATTGCAATGAAAAAGTTCCAGTGTTGACCAAGAGAGAATGTTGATCAACAACTTGAACTCTTAAACCCAGACTCAATTTGACTCGGAAACCCTTTCGATGGTGTAAAATATCTCACTTCATTTGACTTGAATGTATATGTGGTTCCATGCTTAGTTGCTTATAATATCAAAAGTTGTGAAAAATAATCTAGATTCTAGTCACACATTGAAAATTATATAGAATTACTCTTTGGGCTGTAGAAGTGAGATTACAATTCACTTCTATTCCTTAATATTATTCGGTTGACTACATACAAATCTGTGCAAGTCCTCTCATTGAATTATAAATACCGTCTTCTGACGCTTCTTTCATCATAATTACCTCTGCAATTGAATACCAATACGCAATTTGGCTCCGCTATCTCAATTTCATTAAAAGAGAAAACAGATTGGCTATTATAAAAGGATGATTAATCCCCCGTAACTGGGAAACTGGAACCAATGAGCGAAAGTGGGCTGTCATTTCTTATTCTAATTTGTATTGACACTGGAACTTATGAGCGAGAGTGGGATGTCGTCTCTCATTCTAATTTGTATTGACACTGGAACTTATGAGCGAGAGTGGGATGTCATCTCTTATTTTAATTTGTATTGACACTGGAATCTATGAGCGAGAGTGGGATGTCATCTCTTATTCTAATTTGTGTTGACACTGGAATCTATGAGCGAGAGTGGGATGTCATCTCTTATTCTAATTTGTATTGACACTGGAATCTATGAGCGAGAGTGGGATGTCATCTCTTATTATAATTTGTGTTGACAGGAAGATGAAGCCGCTGAAGAGTCCGACGCCGAGGAAGAACAGACGGACGATGCAGCAGACTTTGACTACCTGCTCGGGATGCCGATGTGGAGCCTCACAAAGGAGAGGAAGGAGGACCTCCTCAAAAAAGAGCAAGAGAAAAAACACGAGCTTGAAACCCTGCAAGCTAAAAGCGAGTCGGATCTTTGGAATCATGACTTGGATGTTTTCATTGAAGAGGTTTGTAAATGTTTGCATGCTGTACAAAAAGTTGTTTTAGTTCTATCAAATGATACTCTAATTTTAAACTATTGATACTTCAATTTTCATCTCTTTATGACTTGTAGCTCTGGAAATGAAATGGAATATATAACTTCAGATGATTGTATTCCATCTGTTCTCTTCTAAAGAATTTGTGAATTCATTTCTGAACTCGAGCATTGTTTTTAGAATTTATTGCCATTTCAATGAATTGATTCTGCTTGCGCAGCTTGACAAAGTGGAAGCGAAGGAGCGGGAGGAGGAGAGAGTGGCGAAGGAAAACCTGGCTTCAAAGGACAAGAAAGCTGGTGGCAAGAAGAAGAAGGTGAGCTCGTGCTTCTCTTGTATCGATATTTTCTCTGTGCAGCTCGTTAATTTCTCCTAGACTGAGAAAAATATATTGCATAGTAGCGTAGCACACTTATTTAGAACTCCTCAGGGAATCTAGGTCAATGATTCGTTCATCTTTTCTTGACTCAGGTTCTAGACCTGGTTTGCGGCTCACTTTCATAGGGCCTATATAAATCCGCCAAATTTGAAAGAATTTCAATTTATTCAATTTTGAGCAAAATGTTTTCGGCAGGTCAACTTGATCCTTTGTCTACGTCTTCTTTACTGAGCTTATTCAGTGATCATTCTTTAAATTTACTATTATGGCTGAGATCTTTTATAATAATTTTCTATAATCATTTTTACTTGTGATACAAATATTCAGGCGTCTCTGTCACCTTAGTAACTTAGGATATCAATGTGTCGTTATAATGTCTAAGATATATCTTCCTGTATTCTGCAGAAATACGTGGATGATGTGAGTTTAATGTTATTTCTCATTCATATCATGCTTTTCATTCGTGTCATGCCGTAATGTTTTTCATGTCATGGACTGGCATTAATTTTTGTCGTTACAATCATTTTGCATTCTTATCTTTTTTATATACTTGGATAGAATTTTCAATGATGAACATAACTTATTTTATTACTTTTGATAGCATGTTTATTAGGAAGTGTGTTGCCGATTTTATTCAAGAGCATCAGTTCTAATGTGGAAAATATATCTTTAAGATGTCCTTTTTATATATATACAAGTAATTTTGTTTAATTTACCTTATTTACTCTTTAATTCATCTGGGCATGGTTTAATGCATGTCATAATATGTTGCTTATGATCAGACGGTGTGTGACTCGCTAATGATAACGCTTCATGTGCTAGATTTGAATGATCATTATTCTTTAATAAAATCATTATTACTTTGCCCTCTCATTTTTCATTCATTGGCATGTGTAAAGTGATCGAGGCAGTTCATTTAGCTCGGGAACTGTTTTAGTTCCAGCATTTCTTAATCTTCTGCCCAATCCTGAAAGAAACTCCATTGTTGGCGAATTTAACCGGTTTTCCTGTGTGAAAAATTTCACCAAGTTCATGAGGAAGACTTCTTATTGCTGCGCAGATCTGGGAATTAATTTGTATTAAACTCCAATATAAAAATTTGTTTAAATATATAAAAAATGTTGAAATTTTTTCGCTAAGAGCATATTGCAAGAGCTCAACTCTTGTTGAGCATATTGTAATGGTCAATTAAGTTAATTTTATGACAATTTGGCCGATTTTAGGATTATTGGACTATTTTTTTTTTTTCAGGCGTTGCTGGAAGTGATGCCGTCGCCGATGGGCGAGCGCATCCAGCCGCGCATCGACGCAGAAATGAGGAAGAAAGCAGAGAAGTCGGCAGCCGCTGGCGCCGCCAAGGCTGGCAGACCTGTAAGTTTAAACCACTGCACACGCGCAGAGTTTTATGGTTCGGCAGCTGCAAGTGCCGCTAAAGGTGGCAGACCTGTAAGTTTATATAACTGCACACGCGCAGAGTTTTATGGTTCGGCAGCTACAAGTGCCGCTAAAGGTGGCAAACCTGTTAGTTATATAACGACTCTCAATATGAGGTATATAATGACTCGAATATTCAGAGATAATTTTTATTGTTTGGCTACTACAAAAATCTGACCGCTGTTGACTCCCACTCCAGAAAGGTTTTTGGTCGATCGTTAGATAATTTATTAAGAAAGATACGTGATACTAATGCTAAGATATTTAAACATTTCTTCTTGACAAAGCATCCTGATAATGATTTGGACAGCTTAGTTGGACAGCTAATAGTTGATTGTTATTTAATAGGAATAATACTAGTGCATAAACTTCAATGGATTAATATCTAGTTACCAAGTATTTAAATGATGCTCGCATGGGACTATAATGCCTTTAACCTACGCAGGAAAAAGAGGGATAACACAAATGTTGACTGGAAATGGTTGATTTTATCATGAGTTATAGAATAATGCTCGCATGTAGTCATATATAATGCTTTTTCTACCCACGCAGAAAAAGAGGGATAACCCTGACGACGACCACGATGATCTCTGGTTACAAATGTTGACTGGAAATAATTAACTTTATCATGAGTTATAGAATAATGCTCGCATGCTGCCATATATAATGCTTTTTTTACCCACACAGAAAAAGAGGGATAACCCTGACGACGACCACGACGATCTCTGGTTACAAATGTTGACTTGAAATAATTAACTTTATCATGAGTTATAGAATAATGCTCGCATGTTGCCATATATAATGCTTTTTTTACCCACACAGAAAAAGAGGGATAACCCTGACGACGACCACGACGATCTGGACGACCTTGTGAGCGCCAACACCGGCAAGTCGCTGGCGTCGCGCCTCGGCACGTCCCCAGACCTCGTCAAGAAACGCAAGGCAGGGCGCCCCACCAAGAAAAACGGCGATGGACTCAAGCAAACTAAAATAAATTTCCCCAAGAAGGTTCGCGGCAGAACTTTACCAGTCTTCCATCTCTGTCTTGCCAAATTTTCTGCTTCCTTAACCTTTTTTCATTCTTGATAACTTGATCTGTTTTTCTTATTGGGATCACTAAACCAGATCAAGTAGAAAGTATTGAAACTTGGAATCACTCCAGTAGAAAGTATTGAATACTTCGTGTTTTTATTGATAGTTCACTCTTTTATCCAGATTAAATGAATTATAAAATTATATTGTTGTAGGTTGGCTCCAAGTCATATCTCTTCAGCTTTCTATGTTGAGTGTAATGCCAAGGCACAGGTAAATACCTAGATTAAAAAATTTTTTTATCGTAATAGTAAGTTGTCAGCAAAGGAAAAAACAAATTTTTTCATGCCCGAGAAAAACGGTTGGGACCATATTATTAACGCATTTTTTAATATCGTCGAATTGATTTGCCTCTGATAATATTCTGTCAAGTGTGTTATCTGAGAAAAGTGTTGCTAATAATCATCCATTTTAATACTTACCTTTGCCGCGATGAATTTTTTTCAAATGCAATTTAAAATTAATTAACCAATTTAATTTATTCATATCTATTAAATTATACTTTTGTATTGAATTCGTATCGCTAGAAAAATGGACACCACTTCTGCCAACGAACTTCTCATATTTATAGAAAAATCATGTTTGCTTCATTATGTACCTACCGATAAGTTCTGGTTTACATCAATAATAGGAAAGCAGATCTGGTAAGTACACATCCCAGTAACTCCTTTGATGAATTAAAATAATTGTGTATGATTTATTGATAACTTTGGAATAATTTGAACAGGGCAAAAATCCGTGGTCAAGTGATAGCGACGCTGATGGCGGCAACAGCGACAGCGACTTGAGCACCACCAATATTGAGACGGTGCCCAGGAGCCGCGCTGTCGAGGGCAAAAGAGCGGCAGGTGAGAGTCTCTTCCGAACATTTTGTTTGGCACTACAGCTTAGACTACTGAGCATTTCATGTGGCACTGCAGCAGCTGAGCCTACTATGTGGTGCTGCAGCAGCTGAGCCTACCATGTGGTGCTTCAGCAGCTGAGCCTACCATGTGGTAGCCTACCATGTGGTGCTGCAGCAGCTGAGCCTACCTACGGTGGTATCAGAGGAACGATACCCTACTCGTTCACAGTGTTTTCACAACTACAATACAAGAATAACATGCGGAGTCGTGTAAATTGTAATTTACAAATGCCATTTCCAATTGAATTAAATGGATTATTGGCATGCCGCCTTTCTGAATGCCAAACTTCAAATTTACTACTAAAAAGTCTTTCGTTGATTATGTTTGTGTTGCAAATTTTATTTTTCAATTGTATAATAATTGGTTTGACTTGCAGCGGCCAAGGCAAAGTACAACTTCAGTGACGATGACGAAGACGACGACGACGACATCGAGTCGTTGCACAGCAATGACGGCGTCGACGAGCGTCACGTCGGCCCTGAGAAGCTGTCTTTCCTTGACCAGACGGAGGACAACGCAGCGCCTGACGCTCCATCCCCGCCTAAACCTGGTATCTCTTCCATTCAATTTGTATCCATTTATCTGTTTTTTCTTTAATTTAGAAAAAATACAAAAAATGAAATTTGGTTCACGCTAGAAAAAATTCAAACCAAGAAACCTGAATTAGTTCGATATTTTTTTACGTCATGGTTATAAGAAAAGATAACATAGGTTATAAGAAAAGATAACATATGAAACTTATACGTTGATACATAATTGATTGCTTACAGCAATCACTAAGCCTTTTATATTTGGTAAGATAAAATTTTAGTGGCAAAAAAAGTACTACCCTAAATTACTACATTTATTACCTAATGTTGATTATGTACCAATGGTGTAATGTGGATGGTTTGTACTAATTTTCATGGTGAGAAGAACCGATTTTTTATGTCCTCGTCACTATATTGTTTTTAAGTATACCTAAAATATATGCAGAAGCTAAACGCTTGATCGCTCTGATCAATAGGAATATTTCTGTGACTTTAGGAGCGATCGTAGCTAATAGACGGTGTTGGCCAAATATTTCGTTTATCATCTCTTAAAATATCTTTCACAATTCGTCAAGTGGTATTATTCTCGTGACGACGAGATGATGAGGACGTTCTCATTTATTTTCAGCAGCCAAGAAGAGCAATGCCCCAAAGCCAAAAAAAGCTAACGCTCACTCAGACGAAGATATCGTCATCAGTGATACCGACTCAGAGTTCGGCGACTTCCAGCAGAAGAAGAAGAAGCCCAGCGCAGCAGCCTCTACCAAGCAGGCTGCTTCTACAGGTAAAATATCAAACCCCTTCAAATATATATTTTAAAACTAAGTTATGAATTTTGGGTAGAGTTTGATCATCTTATTTAGTAAGTTATGAACGTAAAATTAAAAATGTTGAAGTATATCAGACAGTCAACCTTCAGTACTTTATCCGCTTACATTAAGTAACGTATAACTTTTGCTATCATATAGTATTTCATTTGGCCTAGGTTTAATTTGCACCCATTCTAGGTGTATTTCCCCTGACAGATACTTATTTATTTAATAATATTAACTAAATTGATTATGAACTGAACGTCTCATCTGAAAATCATATTAACTAGTAGTGGTTTAACCATTTGATGTCTGAAGTATTCATACGGAAATGATTTTATCAATAATTGTAGTCAACCGAACCCCATAGCGATGAATTATTTATCAGTAATTACCCCCGCTTATAGTGTTAACACGTTTTCAATTTTTGTTAATGGCTTCTCTTTAATTTTCTAAGCTGATGGTTCCAACGCATCCGATTTGTTCGACTCACTCATTAGCGGTTCGCCCCCTGTCGCTGCAACTGCAGGTATTTTAAAATCTTCATGCTCCTTTCTAATCTGAAATAGTTGGGTTATTTCAGCCTAAATTATCTTCGTTATAAGGAAACGTAAAAAATGTCTAGAAAGTTTTATTGGTCCTGCTATTGATTCCCTTTTAACATGTTTGGAACGAAATGATAATGAACAATTTGTATGTCAAATGTAATGAAGTACCGGTACTGAATGAAAAACTCGTACTGCACATAATTTTGACACGAAGTGCCTCAAGATTAGCGACGCATTTTGTGCATCTCCTTTATTATTCTACTTAATTTTGTACAAAAGCATGTAAACGTTCATCATGGTAAAAGTGCTATCTATGTCTTAGTAAAAACTTAGTAATGAAGTATTTCGTAATATTCCTGAAATGATTCTTTATAAAATGCTCGCTAACAACCTTTGTGTGTAGACCAGTAAATCTTAATTCTCTTCTTGCCGCTGAAAGCCTGTCATTATTTCCAGTAACTAAAAAACGGACCATTTCGAGCGATTCTGACGTGTCCGAGTCCCCGAAGCCTGCGCCTAAGAAGAAGAACCAAGCTGAGCCTAAGAAAAAGCCAGCCGCCAAGAGGAAGGCTTTCTCTGATTCCGATTCTGATGAAGACGTTGGAGCGAGCAAAAAAGCTCCAACAAAGAAGGTATCAAAACCACTCAAGAAACCAACCCAGTCCAAGAAAAAGCGCACCAATGAAGACTCGTACAATTTCAGTGATGATGAAATTGAGGAGGTAAGTTTGTCGAGAAATAATTCTATTTATAGTCGGAATAATTCATTTTCAAGAATATTAATTATTATAATTAATTATTTAGATGTAATACACGATATTCAAATGTCATGTTATCTATTGTTGTTTAACCCTTTGAAAGTTATGCTTTCATTTGCCGTGTAGTGAAGCTTTATTAAAATTTGTCTATTTGTGGCACAGATTGCGGCTCCTGCCGTGTCGCGTACTACGACGGGCCGGGCACGCAAGCCAGTCAAGTACGCACTGCAGGACTCCGACGACAACGATGACAGCGACTACTGAGTATTGCGAACATTGCAGTGCTTCAGTTCGTGTGGGAAGACTGCTGAGAATTACGATTACTACAGTTCATTTAGAATGCCTGTTATTATGGCAAATATCTGCAGTGCTTTACTTTGTGTGAATTGACTGCTGAGGAGAATTGCGAATATCTGTCATGTTACAGTTCATTTGGAATACATGTAATTATGGCAAATATCTGCAGTGCTTCAGTTTATGTGAATTGGCTGCTGAGGAGAATTGCGAATATCTACAATGGTTTAGTTCCTTTGGAATAACTCAGCATTGCGATTATCTGCCTTGCTTAAGTTCATTTGGAATAATTGTTACCATTGCAAATATCTGCACTTCTTCATTCATCGTATTAGAATGGGGCGATTATTTTGAGTTGCGCTTAAGATGTCAACAGCATTTACGTATATATTCCATTTCTAAGTTGTTCAGCTTTCTCTGTATGATGCGGACGGTTGTGAAGTGTTCGTCATGGGTATGAACAAATTATGGCTCACTGGGATGAAAACGGCCGCAAACGTGTGGAATGAATCAAAGGAATCGAGGCATCAATATTTTATTTCATTCTTTTGTTTGTCTGTTTAATTCAAGTGTATCCACTGAGCTGGGTTTTCTCCATTTTCGAATACTTGACGGAATTTTATTGGTATATCGTACTATCGGCATCTGATATTTTTAAGCCGTAGATGTATTATAAATGACTCTGGCTAAGTTATTTTATTAGTGAAGGAACATGAACTTTTTACTCTCGCGGATCAGTAAATAATAGTGATAGTCTGACCCGTTTTCATCATTTTTTTATCACTAAACCTCGTTCCTAATGTTTTTGGAAACATTTTATGGTTGTCTCTAAAGTAGGAGTATGATAGATTAAAGAAGATCAGTTATAAGTTTTGAGAATAAGTTTCCGTTGGTTTACTTAGACTGGGCTTTACATTTTTAACCTTATCAGGTATTCGTATTGCTCAACAACGTGTTAATTTTTTTATGCTTGGTTTTTACCATTCACTGTTTGGGAGCGAGAGTTATTAAGCAAGCTGAGGTGGAGTTAAAAAAATCTCAATCTATCATTGCGGCATATTGTATTTTGAATCAAGTTTCCAGAATCTCTTTCAATACTTATTTATACTCGCTTCAGGAATTTGAAATGGATTCCATAAATCCAATTCTGTGTTTCATTTTAAACAGTCTTCGAATACGGCCTGACATTGTTTTATTAAAAAAAATGTGTAAGGTTAAACCTTGTGCTTTATTTTCGTGTATCTTAGATCGATTTCTTAACGGCTTGCCACCATGCTCAAAATTTCTAGGAGCACAAACTGAGGAAAACGTGTTTCACCAAGGACAGCGTTATTCTTTAGCAAGTTTGATAACGTTTCATCACAACGGGATTGTAAATCATTCTTTATTAATTCATGTATCTTTCGGAAAATATTGAAATGTGCATCTGCTAAAACTTATCGATGCTGCCTCTTTTTCACAGTGAAAACTTGTTGTGGCTCTAATCTCCGAACTAAGATGAGATTGTTCTAGTACGTACAACATTTGCTATCTTCCGTTTACCTTGTTTCTGTCCAGATGTAAGTCTTCGCTTAGTATTATCTTTTTTTTAGACTTGCGACCTGCTCTTTTTTGTATTGGTTTGAGTGGCCTTGGGCCTAATGTACATAATGGAAGTGGACAAATCACTCGTGTTATTAAAGTGTTTCCTTCGATATCAATTTCTTTCATTTTATCAAAAAAGTCTCCCCTTCAACCGGCCAACCGTTTATTGAATTTAAAGAGGCGTTAACACGATTTTCTTGGGACTTCTTCTAAGAGTTTGCGGATGAGGCAAAAGCTGAAAATCCGTACAATGTGTAGTAGAAAAATTTTGTTATCAATACATTAGAACCCATTAATTACTGAATGCTTGACTGACATTTCTGGGTTATTTGTAGCGACAACGGGAAAAACAACGGCAATTAGAGCGAAACTACATACAGCTATCTACCAAATCTTCTCGACCATTGCTAGCTTTCTGCCCGAGTAAAGTTGGTCGACCTCTTGAGAATTTCTGCACCATGTTCCTGCCAATATTTGTCGCTTACAAACACGTAGTCAGTTATTCCTTCGTTGTCTGTCTGGTAGTCGAACACTCGGAAGCCCTTGTCAGTGATGAAGTTCAGGAAGCCCTCATCGCGAGAGCTTGACTCGCCATGATGCTCCACGAGCATCACTGACACCGTCAACTGCGACCATGGAAGGGACCGCAAGATGTCTGGTTCGCCGCCCTCAACATCGAGCGACAGCAGGTCGATCTGACGAGTTCATCAAATTTGTGAATATTCGGTGACAGGCCTACGGCCTAATAAACGCTGAAACAGCTATTAATATTATAAGAGCAGGCTTCATTCAAACCTAAACATCGGCGGGTGACCGAGTGGTTTACCCTCTACCGCCGTATGTCACTCTCCGGGAACATAACTTTCAACTCAAGTTATACGTACACTATTGAGTGTAGCAATCTGAAGACGTTTGTACGCAACAGAAAACATTTTAAAGTTGTACGTGGCGGCAACCATCAGTGCAAGTCATTTGCGCTCACTAAAACGTATCCTTTTTGGGAATTAGGCTTGTGACAAATATTTCTCCGGCTGCCTATGTCAGGCGGTTGAGGGTTAAGATGACGAAGACTGGAGCAACGAGTTATGGGTTCAAGACCTGCAGCCAACGGTGGAAGGCGCGGTCGAAATCGGCGATGTGGCTGGACGGTTTAAAGCACAGCAAGATATGAGCCGCGAGTTACGTGTTCGACACCAGCAGCAAGCTGTACAAATTCTGTGATATTCAGAACCGGCGATGGGCAAGATCTTCAACGCTGGTACTGCTATGCTATATTATTATTTATTATTATCATTAACACCTACGTGGGTGACGTTGAGCGCCAAGAGCATCGTGGCGAGAGGGAAGCACTGCACCCGAGCGTAGGTTGTGTGGAACTGCGTCTGAATAATTTCCTGATCGCCTCCTGCAGTCTCCTGGCGCGTAAATAAATATACTGTGGTTATGCATCCTCAGTTTATATTACTATTATTATAGATATGATGTCACATTTATTGGATCGATTTCTACATTAAATATAGGGTAACTGGTTTTAATGTTATCATTATTATTCATGAACTCCATCTAATTTTGAGATATGAAACCAAACTATAGTGCGAAAAGTTTGACTTCGGTGTTTTCGCATAGTATTATACACGATTCCTATTTCATGATGATCCATGAAACGTTGTTAGACTTCCTTTTAATAATAATTGCGGCATTAATTGTTATTAATTTTATAATAATTTATTTTTAATAATAATCCTAGGCATTAATTTTATGACCATGCTTCGTCCCGATCATAATGACGATAAATGTTAATCAAAATTAGTGCTTGCTCACTTCGAGGTGCGAACTGCCTCTTGCGATCCAAGGATAGTCGTAGCTGCTTCTTGCATTCATCATTTCCATCATGTTTAAAATCATTTCCTGTTATTGAAATCAACACAAATTAGCATTAATTGAGGTCTAAATCAGAAATTACCGCCCGCCCACTCTCACACGCCCGCCCACTCGCCCATGGGCCTATTTCTTCAGCGCCGACACTTCTATTCTATTACGGAGTCACCAGTGAATACGGTTCATACACTCAGAAAAATAAGCACGACTGGGTCCAAATAGCGAAGCACTTGTTGATTTTTACGCTAATTATACTGACCCAATTTGGCCTATAGTATAAGGGTGTATCACGGTTACGTTCTGAAATCGCCATTATTTGAGCAATTCTACCCACAAATTTGTCTCAATGTACTCCTCGTACAAATCGGACTGAGGTTAATTGATGATAGTAGAGTTAAGGTTATGACACAATTGGTGTACTTCAATTGTTATTTTTGAGATGAGATCAATCTAAGGTGAATTTTCATTAAAAGTGAGTAAAGTGACCTTCAATTCAGTTCGTTTATGAGTATATTAATGTATAATTGCATTTGAAGTCTTTAAATAAAAATGATCGTATTTAATTATACTTGATAATAGGATTTGAAACTGATGCTTACTTGTACAGTTATCATCTACTACATAAATTAATATGGACATTATTAACAAGACTCGTGCGTCACCTGAGGAAATTTGGCTGGTGACAGGCATGCAGGAGACAGCCAGGCTTTCCTGTTCTTGGTTAACATCTTCTGGTAGGAGCGCGGGTTCGCTTCGACCAGGAGGCCGGTCCATTGCAGCTCCTGCGGTAATTGAAAAAACTATAACTCAGTACTCACTGCAGTGAGTGACAGAGAGCGCATTTTCTCGTCGACGAAAACGTGAAGTCACGGACGGACGGACAGACAGACAGACGGACATGGCGAGCACAATAGTGCATTTTTTTATAAAGAGAAAATGCGCTTAAAACGGTGATAACGTTAAATAGGCCGTTAAACCGTCGCTGACGCTGAACATCGCAGAATTTTCACAGCTTGTTGCAGTCTTGCACTCAAAGTTCACTGCTCCAATTTTTGCTGTGCTCAACCGCCCGGCGACCTCGCCAATTAGACCATATAGGCTAACTGTCGCAGTGAGCTGGGAGCGAACCCGCAGCTCACCAGAGCTCTAAGTACTCTGAACTGTTACCACTGTACCACCCCGGCCTCCAGGAGCTCTAGCACGTTACTAAAACGAATTTAAATGTATAGTATTGCAATATATTGTGTAACACAAAACCTTATATTTGCGTACATAATTCAGATAAGTTTACAACTAATAGATATTCTCACCCGTTCAAGAGGAAGGGAGTTAGATAAATACTGCCCGTCCAAGGCGCCGGCCTCTACGAAGAAGCCTCGTGCGGTTCTCCCCAGCACGGCCTTCACGCGACTCCTCAGGAAGATCCACGAGTTCAGCGTCTCGTGGGAGAACATGGAATAATTTCTTCATTGTTTTTTAACATTCTAAAACATTTTTCATACATCTTTAAGACATTTCAGAAGACATTATTTCTCGTACCGTAATGGTTTAACTCTTCATTTATTGTGACTTTTACTGACTCTCATAATTGATCCTTAAAATGTAAACCATATATGATTGGTGCTTAAATATGTTAAAATAATAATTTTCACGCATTTTTATGGATTTCATGCATGACCAAAACATGTACAGCTTACCATGTATTCAATATATTTCGCAGACGTTTCCAGCCTGTATTCTTGTGTTGAAGGCGGCACTAAATATTCATCTCTAAACACATTAATTATGTACTCGTCGTCGTAGAGTAAAGGTCCTTTTAATCTTTGTCTCTTGATAAATTTTTCATCACATAGGGAGAATTTGACTTCGTCATCAGTAAGATGTTGACTACCCAGACCGATATGAAACTGATCGTCTTCGTCTGTTGTTGTGTGCACTCCTCGCGTTGCGATGAACAACGCTCCCTGTGGGGGCACATAAAATGTTACAGTTCATTTAAATTTATATAGCTCATCATATATTTTATATCAGAGTAGTTTATGCGGTAGACTAAAGGATATGAATAATAAGTATATAACTATTATTAATGATGAATAATGATGAGGAAGGCTGTCAGCTTATGCGGTAGATTAAAGAATTTAAATAATATGAAGATATAAATCCCGATTAAAGAATTCTATGGCTCATCGCGATGCAATTCTTACCAGCAACAATGCGATGATGAGGAAGGCTGTCAGCTTATACGCACAGGAGCCCAAGCGCTTAACGCTGTACCACATCTGCCAGCTCCATCTTCTGTAACTTAATTTATATTGCATTGCTCTCAATGTAATTTAGAATGTAATTAATCTCAATTAAATAAATTATTCATTAATTAGTTTCCATACGACTTGTACGAAGTACTTATTTCGCATTAACGCTACACCCTAATTTATCGACAATGTTCATGTTATGATAGCTTTTAAGATTTTTTGAGCTAATTTGTGCCTTTATTCTGTCTTTTTGGCCCTTTCTAAGCCAGAGAAATTACGGTCAAACTTTCATTGCTACTGTACAAAAGACATGATAGAAATAAGAACAGAGAATAAAAAATTAGATTGTTTCTTTAATAAAGAAGTGGAAGGACATTTGTATTTGTGCACGTCATGTCATCTAGAAAAGATTATATATTTCAAGAAGGCGCAAGCCCCCCTTATGCGAGCGGAGGCCAATAGATAATAGAATATACTGGGAAAAAATTGAAAAGTAATTCATATTTTTATCTAACAATGAGCAAAAGTTAAATTAAGTTTTGAATTATTATTAAGAACACAAATTTCGGCATTTCCTATGTGAAGGATAACACTGTTCTGAACCCTATTGAAAACACGAAAGACACGGTTTCGAAAAACGAAAGTTCATAAAAAGGTCCATGTGAGAAAGCTGATCACTCGCAGTGCTTGCTTATATAACTTTGCACTTTGTAATTAGAATAAAACTGAATTTTGTTCTGGTGCATCTTTTGCGCTGTTTCCCTCCTTTTCTGCTGTGGCAGTACTTGAACGACTCGATTGATGTGTAATCAGAATTTTTCAAACACAGTCTTTAGGTTGAACACTATTAATATTAGAGACATTACTTTCTTTTTTTACTATTACACTATTTCATCGACAAAAATGAATCGGCTTAAACTTTCATATGATCAAAGGAGTTCTGGCCACCCAAGCATCTCGCACCGCTTCTTGCGTTTTAAAATGAGTCAGTCTAACAAATGTTTGATTACCTGTTCCCAAGATTTTGATTAACTTCGCATTCTAGTGGTACCATTTTATAATTTTACATCGATCATTTTTACATCAACGTAGAAGATTGAATTACAGCCTCCTCGCCGTATGAGCTTAGATATGGTACTGAATTTCGACCCATTCTTTCCTAGAAATTGTAATTTTTCTTCCTGGTAACTGGAGCAACTGCACTGTCCGAAAAAATGCATACATAAAAAACTATTGTTTCAGTGACCTTCCTTGTAATACGTGAAATAATACGGTACATCGCTGTTTCTTTGATCGAAAGGAAAAATTAAACTACATTAGCAGCGAGACTATATGAATACAAGCTACACAGACTTTGACACAACGTTGGACAAGAGGTGAAATAAAAAAGTTTACGCGCGCTTGTACGCGAACGCAGGAAATTCTAGATACACTGACACGCTATCATCTGGTGATTTGATCGCACATTCTTACTAATGTGCTGTGAGTATGTGACCGCATCAAATGATCAATCCGCTGAATATTAGAAGATTAAGTTATAAAACTCGCTTAGCGACCCGCAGTCAGCTGTAAAAATTCCACGATCGTCAAAATCGTCCTGCTGGCCTAATTTTCAAAGCTGAGCCTGGTATACGTGGTATAGTACTACAATTCCGTCTGTAGCATCTGCTCCATATAGACTACCATATGATGAGACTAACTGTTGTTTTATAGAATCAATTTTGGATTATAGTAGAATTATTCGATTACCATCAGAGAGATTTGTGTGGACTGTTTACTTTAGCCACACCGTACTGGCGTACTCTGCAAGACGGGCTTCTTAGTGATGCATATCCCGATCTGAGCTCAAAATAGAGCATATATAAAAAGTACCAGCTGACGAAAAAAGCCGGTTCCGCAATGCAGCCACAATTGCACGAAGAACCCATCGGATTTCTTCTTTTTTATTATTTACGATGGTTTGCGAATGAAACTGCGTTTTGAAATTTTTCGACGGCATGTGTAATTTATTTTTTGTTTGGGCAATATGAGTGCAACAGCACGTATTTTCCATTTCTTGACCAAGATCAAGACATTTTCATATCATACATTCATTTCAAGATCAAGAAGTTTCGAGAAATTCTGGATGTTTCTGCTGCATCCGTACCCTTGGTTAGTGCGACGTTTCAACTTTCAACGGCAATACGGCATTGTTGGCCAGATGAGAGTACTGACAGTGTCGCATAATCGTAAGCGGTATTTTCACAACTAAGCATAGTGGTCAAATATTGCTACCTGCTGTAAGAAAAGGTTTGATCCGTAGTCATTTCAACGATGCGCAAATTAAATTTTCAATCCTATGGCTATCCTTGTATATCGCTACCCGGTAGTTTCAAGTCACCGAAGATTTGAAGAGCCACAAGAGAGATCATGTTGGGCCGTTGACGGGTGGCGTTGTATTTGATGAAGACGTGTGCAGTATTTGATCGACCTAAACCGAAGCCTGTAATTAAACATTGTTTGATATAACCTCGGATCTCACTAACCGCCAGAGAATTTTATTTTTAATCGATGGTCAGTCATAATACTAGTAAGCAGTAAGCACACAGACGACGCCGATTTATGAAGCGATCACTGATTAGCGATCAGACGCCGGCCGGCGGGCCGGGCCGCCGCCCGCCGAGACGCGTCAATTGAACTTGGTGGCGAGTGATGAGTTGACAATCGTGCAAGCGTGCATTCACGGATTCAGTTAAAATTCTTAACTGAAAATTTTGTTAATTTTTGATATGAAAATTTTCAAGTAAACTTTGAATATGTGGCCTTGCCTTGTAGAAGTGTTGACACTTGACATTCTAGTAAAAAGCTTGATGTTTTCATTCTTACTATTCTCAAGTTGTAATATTGCACAATTATTGAAATATTTTTTTGGTTTTCTCATGATCTCTTCTACCTACCAGTAGGCAGTAGACTTCTAAATAATAGTAAATTACCTAGTCCTGGTCCTGGATAACTCCTCTAGGGCAGGCTGAAGGCTCTAGCCTCTAGGCTCTAACCTCTTTACTCCTGTTTACCTTTAACTAAACTACTAAAGGTACTCTTAGTACTCTTACTAGTTACTACTATAGCATAGGAACATATTTAGGTATTGAGTGAAATAATTTTATTACCATAGTCCAAAAATCATTATCTTGTTACCTATTACTATTAGTTTGTGATTTTGTGTTAGTGGCTGTAGTTATTTAGGTATTGACTTTTATTGGCAATTGTACAACTTGTATATCCGTCATTTGAAGAAAGTCTAAAGTTTGGACATGGAGTTCCGTATTAATATGATAACAGTGTCACTGTGTGGGTGGGATATATATAGGCTACTTGGCAAGTTGCGACTGAATTTTTTGATCCGTTGTTTTATGGATTTGCCAGCCGTCAGCCGTGATTCCAGTTCTTTAAGCTTTGAGTTGTGATTCAATTTTTTTTTTTGAGCCATGAATTCCATATTTTGGCCATGAAAAGCCATTTACAAGCCACATATTTATTTACAAAGTACATGCATGTGTTGTCCCAACTCCCAAATCTCTAATTTTGCCCTAAAACAGTCAAATGGCAACAATAACATTTGTCTTTACTGTAAGCTGAACATGCATTAATGCAGTCTGACTGCTCCAACGTGACTGCAACTATGCGCAAAAGTGCAATTCTCATTGAAATGTTTAGGTTGACTTGTCATCATTACAATGATTACGTTCTGCTAATCAACTTCTGCATCTGCAGGATATTTTTATGGGTAGGCCTATGGTAAAGTAATGTGGATTGCTGAAGTTGCAAATTTTATGAAATGACACGTTTGCAAAGTGCAAACTGCAATTTTTTCAATCGAACAAAAATACATGACAGTAGAGCTGCAACCTGTAAGATTTCATACCTACTGGATATAGGTATATGATGTTAGAGCCACAATATTTCAGAAAATAGTAGGACTTTTCCTGACCTGTATGATAATAGTAATATGCAATCTTGCTCTAGCTCATTAGCTGACCATAACCTGCAATCCTGCACAAACCATCATAATCATTCAAGCCCAATTTGGAATAATTCAGACAGAAATTTCCTAAATTTGCTGGTAAAAACTATCATTTTTAAATTCACAAATGATTTTAAAAAAATACTGGGACCTTTGTAAGAATAGGTGGTTTTTCTTATTATTAATGTAGAATTTGGGAGAAGGCATAGCCCATATAGGAATGGCTAAAATTTGCCAGACTCACAGTCACAGGCATTTTTGTCCGATTCTATCCAATTTTCCAGTTAGGATTCAAGCCAATTGGGTAAAAGCCACCTGTAAATATAACAAAAGCATCATGCTTGTAGTTGTCAGTTTAACCCATCTGTGTGGCTTTTATTTGTTTCAAAAAAAAAAAAGAGAGAAAAAATACATTTTGCCAGCAATTTTTTAAAAGGCCTTGTAAGGTGCAATTTTGGAAAATTTTGCCTGATTGAGCCATGGTCTCTTAAAAGTGATGGAATTGCTAGATTTTAAATAGTGTAACCTGTGCATGCTGCTCACCTATGCTATTGATATACTTATATTTTGATAATTAGCTTGGCTGGTTTGGCCATTTGGGACATAGGGTGGGTTAGTTTACCTTTACCATCCACTAAGTACATTTTATGGACAAATTACATCCAGTAATTATTATGCATTTCTTGTTTTGCCAATGTAAATTTGCAAATGCAGCTATAATTAGTGAAAGATGATCAAAGATCAAATTTTTTTACAGTTGAAGAAATTTCTCTGCTACTTGAATGTAAAAAATATTTTTGTAATAAAAGACAATTGCCAGATATGCAATTTAATATGCCAACTGTGTTGGTTAAAGGATAGACAATGGTAATTCTGAAAGAAAAAAAACTTTTTACAAATGCCACCTATGCTATTCTCACTGAAGTTGGGTCATGTTTCATGGTTTTATTTTATATTTAATTACTTTTTAAATACTAAACTAAATCTGATTTGGTAGGGGTTATTATATGTAGTAATATATGTTTATAAATGAAGCCATATTTAAATAATATAATAGTATTAATAGTGTTGAAACCACCAGGTCATATCTGCTGCTCTGTATAAAATTTATTTAGAATCCTATCATTATTTGTGCCTTAAAATGGTGCCTTGTCATATTTTGGGTATGGTACCTGCCATATCAATGTGGCATGTTGTGTCAGGGTAACCTGATACACAAGCCGCCACTTGCTAACCATGGTTGACCTGCCACATTGGATAGACATATAGTGCTAAGTTGGGTGCAACTTGGCATATGCAGCCTCCTAAGCAATGCAGCAGCTTACTCCATTACTTAATTAGTATTTTCATATTGAATGAATATATCACAGTTTTGCAGCTTGAAAGTTTATTGTTGATATCAACTTACATGCAGCCAGTGCCATTTGATGTTGCAGGCTCACTCTGGAAATTACTGCAAGACATTGATCAAGACCCTGCCCTGGGCTGCACCTAGTAACAAAAAATGTAGAGAAAAATCCTTGTTTTAAGTCAGTGCCATTTTATATTGGTATATAATAATTCTTAATGTAATGTTACCAATAGTTTAGGACATTTCTACTTTAAAGAAGGTATTAGTCATTAACTTGGGTCTTGGTATGATTTGTATGTATGGGCACTTAATTCTTCAATAAAAGCAGCACAATTTAAATTCTGTCTACTTATGACTTTCATCACATCATTTCAGTATTTATTTATTAATATTGCATTAAATTCATTTCAACAAATAATGGCCGAAGATGGTACTGAATCAAGTCATGTTACTAGTATAGCTCCAGAAGATCCACCTGGTGTTGACATCACCCCTGACAAGGACGGCGGTATTCTGAAGACGGTAAGACATACCTCATGGCTTCAATTATGTATTTCCTCTTAACCTTTATTTATAAGGAAACCAAGTTTTTCCAAGATTCATTTTATTGTAATTAATGTAGAACCATTATAAATGTCATGTTACCTGTGTAATATTTGTCAGACTTGAAACCATTTATTTTGTTTAAACATCACTTATTAGTTGAGGTCCTTCTAATTTGATAGACTGTGTTAAATTTTTATTATGAATAGCCGTTTACATTTCATCTGTTCAATTAGACTGAAAACTGTGTTTTCCTAGCCTTAATATTATTGAACACTGGATTTCTAAAATATAGAAAACTTAGGTTGCTTTTGTCAACTAACACAATGATAAGTTTTATGAAGAATAACTGTTTTATGGAGTTTTATGGAGTGGTGTACAAATTTTTCTTGCTACTTAATTAATCATAATTATTTTACTGACACTAACTATTGACATTCAGATAATTAAAGAGGGCACTGCTGATGAAAGTCCATACATTGGCAACCAAGTATTTGTCCACTATGTCGGCACTCTGGAATCTGATGGCAGCAAGTTTGACTCCAGTCGTGACCGAGAAGAACCCTTTGATTTTCAACTTGGACAAGGTAAGTCTAACCTAGAGATAAATTGCTAATTGTGAATATGACAGTGAATTATTCTAGGACTTACTTTGAGAATATCCTACTAAACACTTTTAACTATCATTTTTATTTGTGGTAAAAGTATTTTTATTGAAGTGATTGATTGATCTATCAAAATTTTCAATGCTTTGTTCTCATAACTGGGACGAAAATTTTATCTCCGACTGTTGAAAGTGTGCAGTAGTATCGTGATTGAAATAATTATGACTATTTTTCCAGGCCAGGTTATCAAAGCTTGGGATATTGGCTTGGCGACCATGAAGAAGGGCGAGATTTGCCAGTTGAGATGTCGCGCGGACTACGCATATGGCAAGGTTGGCTCTCCTCCCAAGATCCCCCCGAATGCGACGCTTCTGTTTGAAATTGAGCTGCTGTGGTGGCAGGGTGAAGATCTAACTGACCCAGATCGCAAGGACAGAGGCATCGTGCGGTCCATCGTGACTCCTGGTGATAATGGAGCATCTCCAAATCAATATGCTTTTGTCAAAACCAAGATCGTTGGTGAGCACGAAGGCAGGATTTTTGATGAGCGGACGGTAGAGTTTAATTTAGCTGAGGGAGGTGCGCTGGATATCCCCGTGGGCATTGATACAGCTCTCAAAAAATTCAAGAAGAACGAGACCAGTATTTTGGAACTGGCTCCATTATATGGCTTTGGAGAAGCGGGTTGCGATAAATTCAAAATACCTCCTGATGCTCATCTAAAATATACCGTTACTCTACTTGACTTTGAGAAAGCTAAAGAAGACTGGGAGATGAGTCAAGAAGAGAAAATAGATCAAGCTAAGATCATCAAAGATAAAGGTACTGAATATTTCAAGGCGGGTAATTACCATTTGGCTTGTTTGCAATATGAGCGTGTAGCGTCGCTCATGAGCTATGACTCTGGCTTATCCGAGGAGAAGAAAAAAGAAAATAATGCACTAAAGCTGGCCGGTGAACTCAACCTGGCTGCCGCGAAGCTAAAGTTGCGACGCTTTGCTCAAGCCAAGGAGCACGCGAGCAATGCTCTCGAACAGGATCCTGACAACCTTAAGGCTCTCTATAGAAGAGGACAGGTAAGCTAATTTATTACCTTTAACTATTTTACTAGCTCTTCTAAATATTCAGCCTGCTGCAAGGGTGGACTTTTCTATTCCGGGCGCATGACATTCGCGTCTTCACGGTCGTTTTGCATGCGTATTTGAAATTTTTAAGCTAAGAGAATACGGGGTCCTTACACACACTCGTCTTCTCTTAGTTACACTCCTTACACACAATATTTCTAGCAGTGGACAAGCATGGTTAAGCTGAATTACTACTACTAACGTTGGCATCTGGATGTTTTAGTGGGTCTTGAAAATGCATTGGAATATTCTATTCATTTAGGGTAAGTTTGTGCAAATTTGTCATTTTTTAAATTCAACTCACTCGTTTTCAATGGCTTGATCAACAAATTTAGCATGACCCATCTATTTATCAAAGGACTGTATTAAACTTATGTTACATCTGCCCAGGCGTTTATGGAATTGGGTGAGCTCGAGGAGGCCGCAGCCGACCTGGAGAAGTGCGTGAGACTCGATCCCTCGAACGCCGCTGCCAAGAAGCTGCTGGTTTGTGTTCATAAGAAAATCAAAGAACACAAAATTAAAGAGAAGCAAATATACGCGGGAATGTTCGACAAATTCGTCAAATCTGACGCCAATCGCGCCGCCGAAGCGCGCAAAGCCGGCGTCTTGAAAGACGGCGTTGGTGAATGGCAGGACAAGGTTGAGACTGGGAAAAATGACGAGGATTTGAGCGAAGTGAAGCTCATCAGCAGCGATGATCAAATAAAAGGGGACGAGTTCATGAACAGCACTTGAGAATCCCATCATCCAAGAGACTAGGTATCGCTACAATCATCCCTCAAAACCATAACATTTTCCCACCTTTCAACTTATGTGACCTTATTTCGAGAAGTTCTACAAGACTGTAACTGCCGTGATATTTTTTACAGCCTCTTGCTCCAACTGGACGCACAGAAGTAGAGAAAGTGTCTTTTCACCGTAGCCTTCTAGTTTAAATTTCACTTTTGCTTTAGAAGATAGAATTAGGATAATTTTTGTATTGTACGGATTCATTGTGTTCCTGGATTTCAAATCCTGAAAGAATGAAGTGTTCCTTGATTCGAGTGACGTTCAAGCACGAAAATTCGATTATATTTACTAATCTTTATTCTATATTAATCTAGGTTTTTAAACTATTATAAAAATTTTGTGAATCTGAAGGAGAGCAATTGATTAGAAATTTTGTGAATCTGAAGGAGAGCAATTGATTTGTTAACATTCGTTTCTTTGGTGTTATGCTGCAAAGCAAGCTTTTTTTCAATATTTATAGAATAGAAATACACAAGTCGTTGACTTTTTTGGCGGGCTATTTATCTTCAGTTATAACTCGTTAGAAAGCAGCGCGATAAAATAGTAAGCTGTTGTAATATCAATTCCAAGATCGCTCTCCTTTAATTAAGTCCTGTGTCTATTTTAGTATTGCTCACATTCATCAGTCTCATCGCCGATCCCTCTTCGTGCAGTTTGCACTTTTCTGTGGTTATGTGTAGGTCGCTGATGAATCATTCCACTAGTCACAGCGTTTTTTGATCTCAATCATAAGGTCGGAATTTTCGCGTAATTTCTCAACATTTATCGGTGGTAGGTAAAAAATTCGGTAACGTATGATACATCCCCATGTGTCAAATCTAAATAAATTGGAATACCCGATTTCTTTCATATCTACATTCCCCGAGGCCGTCGTTCTAGAAATTTTTATCTTAGTATTCCAGTTCACTTGCAGCTGGAAATAAATTCGGTAGGTAGCTGAATTAATCAAATGAACTTATTTTTCGTTGCGTTTCATTTGTTTTCAATGGTCTAAGGCTTTAAAATGTAATAAAATGAGAATCGCAGAAACTATAGGTTCCTTCAACACGTTGTCGTAGGATAAGAACATTCGAGCATTCATCCACGTCGCACGCGATTATATCACGGTCACTAGACTCGAATTTTTTATCTGTGCAACTAAAGTTCACGGGAATGTTACATTGTATAGTTTGATCAAGCAGGAACAAAGCGTAAACAGAACATTTTAATACTTTTAATCCATTGCATCAGCGGCAGCCATCATGCAACGGTAGGATATAATGCAACCATGTTATTGGTAGGATCAATCCATGTCCTTTTTTGAGTTGAGGCAAGTAGCACATTTTAATCAGCCTCCTGGAAGGATGTGTATGAAACTACGCTATGATCGCCAATAACTGAATTGCACGACTATATTCTAACATGTGCAAACTTCAAAAAGAGGAAAAAAATTCATCGGTATGATTCTCGCTTCATTTCTACGTTCAGCATCAGCTAAATACGAAATAATTCCAAGCACGAGGATAAATCCGATTGTCGATAAATTATGATCCATCAATTGAAGCTATAATGTAAATCATTTCTTGCATCTAAATTAGATACCTGATGAGGTACATAGAGCATGTTGCAGCATGAAAATCACGAAACCTGGTGAAAAGAGCATGTTATAAGTGAAATGATCAACGCTCCAATTTGTTTGTAGAAGCAACTGAACAAAATGTAACGAATTGAGCTTATATTAAGCTCGTATCCTCCCTCCTAGCGACCCGCATGGCAACGCAACACTTCGGTAACACTACTGGCAAGATATCACACTCGTACATAAATCGACACACCAAAAAGATCAAAAACAGACCAAAAATGAAAACACGAGAACAATATTTGAAATCACTCGCAATCAAACATATTTACAGTCTTCACACAGATTGCCATATTTTTTTCGTCAGCATTAGAAATAAAATTCTTAAATTATTATTGCGAAAGACAACTGAAAAGTTTTCCATTGGCAGCAAATTTGGTACAGTAATATCAAGGTAATTGTAGAATAAATTCGTTAATTTAGACACCAAATTAGTGTTCATGGCCATATTACGGCTTTTGGAACCCATTACTCGGTTATTACAGAGAAGCAAAGTACTGTTAAATTGTTTGGTATTCTTCCTCTCTTAAGCCAACGAAACGTTAACAAGCAATTCAACATAGAAAATAGGAGGAAGATTGTTTTCACAGCCTTGTAAACGCAATTGGGCGGAAAAAGTATACCTTAAGAAGTATGTAGGCATTTTGCGGGAATACTTGCGTCCTGCTGGAATGATAGCATCGCTGGTATCACAAATACCCTCCTTAAGATCCCCACAGGTAAGTACCCAGTTTGCTTAGGGACACTAACCCAGGGCCATGCTGCAAGCACCACCTTTTTGACGGCAACCAAGCGCCGCTCACCAGCGGTAAAGAGAAATAATAATGAACCGAGGTTCTAACTTACGGCTGGCTCCTCTCAACTCGACGCCGCCATCACTGCGCTACAGTGGCGCTAACCACTGCGCTACAGTGCGCTAACCACTGCGCTACAGTGGCGCTAACCACTGCGTGTACAGTGGCGCTAAGCACTGCGATAGTGGCACTAACCTCTGCACTACAGTGGCACTTACCACTGCGCTACAGTGGCGCTAACCACTGCGCTACAGTGGCGCTAAGACTGCGCTACAGTGGCACTAACCACTGCGCTACAGTGGCGCTAACCACTGCGCTACAGTGGCGCTAACCACTGCGCTACCATGGCGCTAAGCACTGAGCTACTGACACTCGCTCCAAAGATCTGCTCGTCTACTTCCCCCAGTCACCTCATCTCCTGGGAATGGCTTAACTAGAAACAATAAAAACAAACACAAATGCAACGCAGGCATGCTCAGTGTCGCTAAGAAATAACACATGCACATCAAGTATCATCAATATTGGTAGTATTTTAAGACTATCAAGACCCAATTGCATGTTCGCAGGTCAAGCAAAGGAAAAGTTTGAAATTAAGTGAAAATAAGAAACGGATTGTGCAAATTTGAGCAAGTTCAGTTTCGAACAACTGCTTCTAAATAGAATCGCGATTGAAAGGATCGAAGAAAACAAATATAAAAAAAGGCCGAAAAACGCAAAAAAAAATCATTTACAAATAGGAATGATATTTCCCGCAGATTGTTTCTAGACCAACAATTGTTCGGTAGTGGCGGTCAGATAGAAATACTCACAGGTTAACAATCTCCTGTTGCATTAATAAATTAGTATTTCATCCGTGTGTTATTCCTTAAATCGTTTATTGAAGTTCCATTGATCTAATGAGTTCTGCTGAGTGATCATTATAATAAAAAATATATGCTTTACAGAATACATTAGAATAAAATGATGATATGGTCCCTTCTAAATCAACGTTATTTCCAATTTAAAACCTTCAACACCTCTGTCTCTAACTTACTGAGATTATTTAACAAAATTTCATCATAATTCTAGTCATCTCAGAAGAAGTAATACAACAAAATAATTTGCTGGCAGCAGAGTTATTGGAGCGACGGGTTTATCCGCCAGGCACCTATCCTGTAGCGCAGCCAGATGAGCACCAAGTCAATGCCCATCTCCAGCCAACTCAGCACCGGCGTCACTTTGGAACCTGCACAACACGTACAATATATAACTAGTGCAAACATGCACACTTTAGAGCCTGCACAACACGCACACTTTAAGAGCCTGCGCAACACGCACACTTTTGAGCCTGCACAACACGCACACTTTTGAGCCTGCACAACACGCACACTTTAGACTTTAGAGCCTGCACAACACGCACACTTTTGAGCCTGCACAACACGCACACTTTAGAGCCTGCGCAACACGCACACTTTTGAGCCTGCACAACACGCACACTTTAGACTTTAGAGCCTGCACAACACGCACACTTTTGAGCCTGCACAACACGCACACTTTAGAGCCTGCGCAACACGCACACTTTAGAGCCTGCGCAACACGCACACTTTAGAGCCTGCACAACACGCACACTTTAGAGCCTGCACAACACGCACACTTTAGAGCCTGCACAACATGCACACTTTAGAGCCTGCATAAACACGCGCACACATTTTATGAGCTAGCACAAACGCACACTTTGAGACGTGAGCGTCAGCAACAAACAGGCTATTGATTTTATACAATCAGACTATTGATTTTTATACTACTATTATTATTGATTTTTTTAAACAGATTATTGATTTTTATACTATCTAGACGCAATATAGAATTCTGGTATACGTTAAGTTTTGTAAGCTTTTGATAAGGTCATGTAGACCTGTTGCTGATTCCAACCAAATTTTCGCATTAGTTGAGGGTTTTGAGCCCCAACTCGCTGCTTCAATCTTATTGATCTTCACCATTTGATCACTCCAAACTTCACACAAAAAAACACTAAGTTGCTTGGCGGTCAAAAAAGGTGATCATTCTGTATTCTTCCTAGGTTTCAAATACCAACAAGTAAATAAGAACCACACATGATGTCCAGATCTGTTGTTACTTTCAAGATGGCATACTACATAATAAGGTTCACATAGAACTAAAAACAAATAAATACCAGCTTTATTAGTGATTGAAGAGACTCCAGTATCCATTATCCTACTTAATTATAACTTATACTCTAAAACTTACGCCATTTAAGAAGTTTAATGAATAATAGCACAATAAGAAGCACCGACCGTCAATTTCTGTCCACCGCACAGCCACCTCCGAGATCGGAATGCCAAGCTTCTGAGCAATCACCAACATCTCGACGTCAAATGCCCTGGCAAACAAAATAACCATCAAATTCTACCAATACTTATAAATAATTCTATGAACAGATATAAAACAGTAATTGAAATGATTTAGCATAGCTAAAATTATGGTTTAAGAAGATATCTCCTTTATGATATCTGACAAAACAAACATTCTTTTCATTAAATAAAAAACGAAGCCCCCATTTCAAAACAATTTCAACAGAAAACCATTAATGATATGATTGGCTATAACCTATATATCCCTCTAAAATGATTCCTGGACGTACGAGGCAACGAGTGGATCAACCAGCGCTTTCATCAATCTGCTGCACTGCTATGAAAGATAACGTTGCACGCAGTTCAAATTTTTCCCAGTGTATGACTCACCATCTTTCAATGTGTAGGTTCTGGAAGATGATTCTAGCAGCTCTTCTAGTGAGGAGCTTGAAGCCACACTGGGTATCTCTGACGTCCCTGACGGTGAAGAGCCACACGAGGCTGTGGAAGCCGTACATGAGCAGCGTTCTAAACAGAGATCTGTGGGCCACAGAATCCTTCTCGAGGTGAGCGCGAGAGCCGCACACCACCGCAACGCTGGCGCCGAGATCCACCACGCCTTTGGGGAGCAGGGGTATTAGGGAACACCAATACTCCTGCCTTTACCGCTATACTAATAATCACAAACACTTGGAGCTGTAATGCAGCCTGTTTTGAAGGAGCAATAGTGCTCAAATCGTCATTATGTCGAGGAGCTTATACTTCAGGGTGCTCCATGTTTTGACGTCTGCACAAGTACGAATCATAGATCCGACACGCCTTTGGGGAGGAGGGGCATTAAAGCTCAATTTCTAAATGTCTGTCTTGAGAGATCATTAGTGCCCGAGACGATATTATGTCGGGCAGTCTATGCTGAAGTAGCATTAGGGCTCAATGTCTTGACGTCTGCACAGTGAGGTTATGAGAGCCATGCTAATGACTTCAATCCCATGATTGCTTGACAAGTCAGCACTTATGTACTCAATGCTTGTTTTTGTAAGAAAAATCACGGCAAAATCCTTCCGTTGAGCTTGAAAAAAAGATTCCCAAAGATCAACTTGATATTCTCAAAAATAACTTCTAAATTCAAGAAGATATCAATGATGATGATTATTATTACAGATTCGATTCATTTTTGACGAAATAAAGAGACTCATACTTACGAATGTAAACTATGTGTCAATCATAGAACAAAGCCACTCAGATTTACGCATGTAAACCCTCTCCATTGTATAATAAAGACACTCTGCTTCATGCATAAAATCCATACCAACACTTCACGCAATAATAGTATACACGCGAGTAAATTACCACAATAACTATACACGCGTATAATTGTGATAATTACACGCGTGTGCCTCATCACAGGTCGCGCGTAAGTTACCCACCGGGGCAGAGTTGGGCGATCGAGGCCTCGAGCTTGGCGAGGTCAGGGAACTTGGTGGCACCATCGGCGTCTGCGAAGAGGATGAGCGAGCCCCGGGCACGCAACACGCCCTGACAGGTCAATGAGTATAGCAGCTTAATAGGTCAATAGTTACATGGAATCTCAGCATAACTGAGCAATAGAGTTACATAATATCCCAGCGTAACAGAGCAATAGAGTTACATAGCATACCAGCGCAACAAGGCAATAAAGTTACATAATATACCAGCATAACAGTTACATAATATACCAGCACTCGTTGGACTGGACCGCGACTGGCACGTGCCTGGCAGTATGGTGTGAACAAAGCCTAACTGAGTAAAACAGAGCAATAGATATACATAGCATCCCACCATAACAAGGCTCAATAACCTCAATAGCATAGGTGGTCAACAAAGTTAATTTTTTAATTTTTAAAATGTTGTTATAAGTTTGTTAAGTTATTCCAGTTCTAAATTAATAGGTTGAGCAAGCCAAGACAAATCAGAAGCGGTCCATGTTTAGATAACAAAATATGTTTTACAAGCTTCAGGAACAGAACTTAGGGCAGTTTAAGACCATCTCTCTGGTGGCAAAGAACAGCTCACAAACCTACAGACTACAGACCAAGAACAACACATAGATAACATATTAGAAACAACAATAAACTAGAAACAACAATAAACGAGCCTATTGCCCAGAAGTTCACTCACCATCCTGACGGCACCGCCCTTGCCACGGTTACGTGAGAGCTTGAGACACCGCACAGTGTCGGCGCCGTAGCGCTGCGTGTAGCGCGCGACCACATCACACGTCGCGTCTGTGCTGCCGTCGTCCACGACGATCACTTCGAAGCTGAACTTGTGGTCGCCATCACGACGCTCCGTCAGGTACTCCAGGCACTCGTCCAGCATTTCAGGCACTGGTGGCAGGGCAGTGTTTTAATTCAGGCACTCATACAGCATTACGGGCACTGGTGGCAGGGCAGTATTTTTGTTCGGGCACTCATACAGCATTACAGGCACTGGTGGCAGGGCAGTGTTTTAATTCAGGCACTCCAAGCGCTTGTTAGCATGACAGGTAATGATTTGAACACACATCCATCAACTATCCCTATTGCCTTTGAAATGATGAATCATTGACTTTGAACACCTGACTTACTTTAATGTGATCAAAATCTAATTTTTCTACAAAGAAAAATCAAGTAATCATGACCAGAGACTTCACACTGAACTCAAATAATTTTTGAATAAATTTCTTTCTAAATTTTTGATATTCAGTTGACTGAACTAATAGAAAACACTGCAGTTAATCGACTTGAATCAACTTCAATACACATCAAAGAAAATATCATATTTATATAAATAAGCTGTAGTTAAAACCATCAAAGTTAAAAAAAAAACAAATGTTATTAAAACACATAATATTTTCTCACATCGGAGTTCTTCATTGTAGGCTGGCACCACAACAGACAATGTAAGTGAAGGATCATCTTTCACAAGTGAAGGGAATGGAAGTAGTTTGGTGCCATCACTGTAGGTGCGCTCGCAGGGACTGTCCGTGAGATCAGCATACTTATGACTTGTGAGCAGCAGCACGGCGCACAGCTGCAAGAAACAGGGATATTTGTTGCTATTGAGAGGCTACATGGAAATGTCAGATTCATGATGCATGTCTCAGGGTGTGGGAAGTAGTCCCAGATTGAGGGTACAAGTCCCAGGCTGAGGGTACAAGTCCCAGGCTGCGGGTACAAGTCCCAGGCTGAGGGTACAAGTCACAGGCTGAGGGTACAAGTCACAGGCTGAGGGAACATGTCCCAGACTTAGGGTATGAGTGCCAGATTGAGGATACAAGTCTCCAATTGAGGGTACGAGTCCCCAACTGAGGGTACGAGTCCCCAACTGAGGGTACAAGTCCCCAACTGAGAGTACAAGTCCCCAACTGAGGATACAAGTCCCCAACTGAGGGTACAAGTCCCAGGCTGAGGGTACAAGTCCCAGTCTAAGGGTACAAGTCCCAGGCTAAGTGTACAAGTGCCAGACTGAGGGTACAAGTCCCAGGCTGAGGGAACATGTCCCAGACTTAGGGTATGAGTCCCAGATTGAGGGTACAAGTCTCCAACTGAGGGTACAAGTCCCCAACTGAGGGTACAAGTCCCCAACTGAGGGTAAAAGTCCCCAACTGAGGGTACAAGTCCCCAACTGAGGATACAAGTCCCCAAATGAGGGTACAAAACCCCAACTGAGGGTACAAGTCCCCAACTGAGGGTACAAGTCCCCAACTGAGGGTACAAGTCCCCAACTGAGGGTATAAGTCCCAGGCTGAGGGTACAAGTCCCAGGCTGAGGGTACAAATCCCAGGCTGAGGGTACAAGTCCCCAACTAAAGGTACAAGTCCCCAACTGAAGGTACAAGTCCCAGACTCAAGGCATGGGTGTAAGACAGAGCAGGAACCACAAACATAAAACATGGGCCTGGAACTTTTATATTCAAAACATTAAATTAAGACAATGCATATAGTATGAAAACCACACCAACACTTCACGCAATAACTATGCACACATATAATTGCTCTAGCTTGGATTATAAAGTGCAAATTTTTGCAGACATAGGTTGGTATTAGGTGTCTTGTCGAATTTTAAGAAGCATATTTAACATTTTTTCCTCTACTTATTGTTGTACAAAATATAAATTTAGGGTTTGTCAGAAGCAAACCTCATCATAACTAAAAAATATTTCAACAAGTTATATCTGAAATCCATAATGCTGGTGTGTACCAGGGGTCCCCTCTCACCATCTCTGATACTATATGTGAAATGTGAACAGTTGCTTCATATATATTTATTTTCCTATCAAACAAGGCTTCATAAAGTTACAGCTTCAAAGCTTTATTATTAGTAGCACTGTATACCTCAATGTGTAGATTGTGACCGAGTTGGAAATAATTGCTGCCAAAAATTGTCAACTAATAACGTTTTTTAGATAACCTGACATGATATAACCAGAGCAAATAATCTCTTTATTATTTATAAAACTGCATGATTGAGCTCAGTGATCTGAAATTTAATCAAAATATTCAGCTACAGAGCCATTAAATTTCAGTAAAAAGTTTGTCTACACTAATCTTGTACTGCCTTGCAAGGAAAAATTGCATGATACAATCTCCAAGATTAGAATAATTTGGAGAAAAGATAAGCTAGTTACAATTTAAAAATAGTGATAAGAAAACATTGAAGAAAATTACGAAATTATTACTCACAGTTATAAATAAGCAGATGGCAAATATGACTAGGTATAAAAATAAGTTGAATAAATCCATTCTTGGTAAATATGTTTTAATAAATTCTTACAAAAACATTACTCTATCAATTTTATCAAATGTTATTTTTCATATTATAATCACAAAATCTGAAAGAGAAGTTTCAAATAAGGATGATAATCAGGAAGATGAGGCTAGGGCACTATTTTGTCTAGCAAATTAAATTGAAGATTAAAAGTTATAGTGGGATCAGCATTGATTATGCCACATCTGGTCAGTTGCAAACTGTAAACATAGTGGCAAAGGACAGCATTTTTTGTTACCTTCATCAAGTTCATTAACTATTACTACCAGTAGACTAGTAAGTATCTTAGATACCAGCATTAATAATACACAAAAAAAATTGATCAGAATATTGAGTAGATAAGGAAATAAATAATATGTGCTTAAAAATTACTTTTCAAAGACAACACTTCTCCAATGTTACACTTGTACAATGAATTTTTTACTTTATTTTTAAATAATAAAAAAAATCATTTATGTTTTTCTTCTTCATATTTAAAAAAATAATATTTTTGTTAATAAACCATCAACTGGGGCTACTCAGGACTATTTCGAACATTTTTCGTTCATAACTTCTTACCATGAAACATTTCATAAACAAGTTTAGGCTCATTTCAAAGCTCTTTGCAAGGGCTATCACATGGCCTCTCCAAAAAATTCCATATGCTATTCGTAAGGTGCCAGAAGCAAAAAAAAAGAGTGTCCCAAGTAGCCCCGTCAAATGGGGCTACTCGGGACACTTGGAATAAAACTTCATTTTAGAACTTCTGAAGCATGCAGAGTGTACTCACCCATTACAAAAAGTACTCTGAAGCAGGGTTGGTGATTTTTTCATTTTTTTAAATCAAAAAATCAAAAATCAACAATTTTTTTTATTTTTTCATGATATTTTTGATTTATTTGATTTTTTCAACTTTTTTGTATTTTTGAAAGGTTATTTTTTATGTTGTAATTAGCCTCCTAACAATAACAGTATATGGATCATAATGGATGGCTAAAAAGGGCACTTATTGCCTTCAATAATGGCCACTTAGGGATTTTTGGGTAAACAATTACTGATAAGTCTATTCATTAGCTTTGTAAAGTTTGTATGGAGAAAGGTAACAAGCTAAATATTGACCATTTAACTGACTTTAATATACAAAAACACTTCAGGAATGCAGATATTCTAAACATTGAAGAGTCACATAACAGATAGGTAGCTGTTAGCACAGTGCACAGCACTATCAATAGATCTACTAGTTTTATGTCCTATAAATCTACCAGACTCTACCCTCTAAACACTCCGACTAGTAGTGACTGTAGCTGATAGCACAGTGCACAGCACTATCAATAGATCTACTAGTTTTATGTCCTATAAATCTACCAGACTCTACCCTCTAAACACACCGACTAGTAGTGACTGAGTGACTGACTGCACTGTTCTCATTTGATTCGGAAGAATTAACCAATACTAAACATAAACTGAACGATAACCTAACAAACCTCAAACAGCTTGAAACGAGACTTAAGTTATGAGAAAAGCTAACACTGTTTGAAATAAACATGTGCACAATTCAAATATTTATATCCATTCACTGCATTTAATTATTTTATATATAGTCTTATACTCATAATTGTTTCATTTTTAGTTTTAAATTCACATATTTAAACATTGAAATTAAATATTTTAATTAGAATACTTGTATTAGGGTGAAAAATCTTTCTAATTGCCTAAAAGGTCAATACAATCTCAACCTCTCAATATACAGGGTGGGGCAGAACAGATTGAGCAGTTTTGAGGCAAAATAAAAGAGTAATGGAGGTACATAAAGAAGAAAGTTCATTTTCCTAGAGGTTAGCATAACATACCATTTAGAATACTTATGTTTTGAAAACAATATCTGGAATATGGGGGCCATTAGCTGAAACACACTGTTGGAGTCATTCTCAGAGAAGGGGAATAACCATGACAGTGAATTCCAATTGCTATGCTGCAATATTGCAAAATTTCTTGCAGCACAGTATGGAAAACAGTGTTGAAAATGAAGCATTGGAGACATGTGGTTCCAGCAGGATGGGGCTACAGCTCACACAGCCCGAATATCACTCAATGTTTTGAAATACATGTTCCCGGACTCTGAGGGGTGATTTACATTGGCCTGTAAGGTCACCTGATTTGAGCATTTGCAATTTCTCTCTTTGGGGACATCTAAAAGAAAGGGGGTTCATAAGTCGCCCTCACACCCTACCACAGCTAAGGGAACGGATTATTGTAGCAGAGGTTATGACCATACCTTGCCATGTGTGAACGTGCTGTAGGAAACTTCCGAGAACGACTCCAACAGTGTGATGCAGCTAACAAACACATCTTCCTGATATTGTTTTCAAAACATAAGTATTTTAAATGGTATGTTATGCTAATCTTGAGAAAAATAAACTTTCTTCTTTATGTACCTCCATTACTCTTTTATTTCACCTCAAAACTGCTCAATCGGTTCTGCCCCGCCCTGTATAAGCTAGCTAACACATTTAAATAGTATAGGTATTGTAATCACATAGTCAAATAGTTAAAGACAACTTATAGCCTTATAAGAATTAGCTAAGCTGCTAGCTATGACTGCTATGTACAATGCATTGAAACACTTGAAAACATTCAATTTATTGGAACCTAATACACACTAAAGGCAACAAGTTTATATACCAATTTGTCATTCATAGTACATTTATACTAAACCATGAATAACAATACTTCAAGATAAATTAAAGACTGCCACTCAATATATTTAGATAAATAAAAAATCAAAAAAATTAAAAAAAAAAATAAAAAAATAGAAAAAAAATAAAAAAATGATGATTTTTTTATAAAAAATCAAGTGATTTAATCACATGATTTAATCATTGCCAACCCTGCTCTGAAGTCCTCTTCTTTATTTGTTGATGATGTAGATGCAAAATAAAAGATGTTTTCTTTAATTTGTTCCCAATTTTCACCCTATTGCTATACATATAAATCCATTTTTCACTAACAAAAACTATTTTTTCCATTTTGTAACAAAAACTTTCAAAACAAATAGAAAAACTTCCTTTTCATACAGTAATGTTTACACTTAACAACTTAAAAGTAAACTGTGCTGGTGCCTACATGTTTTTATGGAGTATATACCTATGCCTACAGCCTAACCAAGGCTACTGGTATCAGCCAACCTGCTAAGCATCATGTTAGTAAAAACATACTTCCCTCGGTTTGTGCTGATAAGGGTTAGCTTGAGCCTGATGTTCTCTCGTTCAACAGCAGCCATGTCATGCTGAACAGGGTAGACAAATGATAGCTTTTTTGTATCACTGCTCTTCTTTAGGAATTCAACCATGACATTGCAGTCATTGTCTTGTGGTTGTTCTCTCACGCAAGCAACATAAAATTTCTCACGTTGTACCCTTCCATCTAACTCGAACCTAACAAGGATAAAATCATCTTCATTAACGATGATTTTAGAGATTTCCTTGTCAGGTTCCTGCATCTCATCTTGATGATCAGCCATGAGCCATGTCTTGAGCAACAGCAAGGTCAGTTCCATCATTTGATTCAACCTCATTCTCCTCATCATCTGAATATTTGTCAAACTGTAACGCTTTCCACATATTTGCTGCCTGCTTCTTCTGGATTTGTGATGTTGCTGAACCTGAAGTGCTGGCCCTTGGCCCAGTGTGGGACTTTCCAGGAGTAAGCTTGATAGCCTTTTTTTGTTTGTGTGCACTATTGGCTTCAGTGGGTGGCAAGTGGATTTCTAGGAGTTTCTCCAGCACAGCATCCGAGACAAAGCTCCTTCTATTTTCAATATCTTCTTGCATGGTTTCTCTGCGAAGTTTCCTGAGCAAGCGCTCCCGGTCAAGTGGGCACAATCCTGTGGCTTGAAAGCCCATGCTCATATTGTGCTTGACTTCATTGTTGATCGAGATCATGGTGGCAAACAAATTTTTTGCCCGACTCATTTTCAGACGCGTTCATAACTTCATAATTTACGTTCACTTTTTGTTATTTTACTACACTGGGCCCGATATGGCATGTATTAAGTATTTTCAAAGTTTGTTATGTTTGAATGTTCTACTTTTGATTTCATTAATGTTTTGTATCACAGGTTCACAATGGTAACCGCAATGGCTTCCAATTGCTGTTGCCACAACGAGATCAAGAAGTAAACAACACCCCCGTTCCAAGGAATACCAGCGGTTACATGTTAGATTGGGATTCAGTCACTAGAATAAGGTAAACGAGTTTGTTCAAATTTTGGTTAATTCAAATTTTAGCAATTATTTTCAGATGACAAGACATTTTTTACAGATAACCTTATAAATTTTGTCTAAACTATAAACCAGATACCGGGTTGTTAACTATAAAATAGCTTACTAATATTACTTACAAAATTGACACTCGTTTAGTTGAGGTCAAATTTGCTATCATGGTCATACATATCTAACGGAAACAAAAGATTAATGATATGCAAACCACGGCACAGCTCATTTAGATTGGTTGCTATAATCTTTAGCTTCTTGAAATTTCATAGATGATATCGAAGATATTGTTAAATGAATGTATATGAAATTGATCAGGCCTTTTTTATTTACATCAAGTGAGAGAAGTCTCGGACAATGTCCGAGACGTAAGTGAGAGCGAGCGCCTTGGTTTCTTTGAAAACCAATTTTGAGCATAAAATTATTACAAAAAAAAACAGAGAAGAATCGTATTTTGATAAAAATTTAACAATGATTATTTGGAGTTGTGCTTTTAAGACAAGAGGTTCCTCTATAGATATTATTTGTAGAATATGTGATTTAGTATCGGCAATTTTATGATAAATATGCATATCTACAATCCCACGTTTCTGTTTAGATGTAACTCCATTACAATAAACGTAGAAAGTTGGTCGTTTTATTTTTGCCTCTATTATTAAGGTTATTCTAAGAAATTGCAAACCCCTTACTGCATTCAAAAAAAGTCTAAGAAACCTTTTGTTATGGCAGCATGCATCCCTGCTTGGTGTTGCTGGGATCGGTAATCCCATATATTAGTGAATCCTGTTGCAATTATCAATACCATATACCAAGAATGCAGCTCTTGTACTGACATTGTCGTATCAGCTATCATCATTATTATTATTGAAAATGATTCGCATCATTTCGGAAAAGACACATTAAAATTCCTATTAAACATTTGAATAGCGTATCTTTGCATACTATAGTCAACTAGATTAAAAATACTTTTCAGCGAGCGCTGTCGGAATTAATTTAGATTTTAGCTAGCGCGATATATGCTCCTTTTTGCACGTTGTCGCATAAGTTTATATAATAGAAACCAAACTTGACCCTTTCAAAGACGAAGCTATATATTCAAAATACACTACTGCAAGCGCATATGGCAGTATTTGTAACTATAACCTCTTGAACAATTTTACGGCCGGCTCATGGCCCGTCTCCAAGTTTCAGTGAGCTTAAAATATCTCTAATTAATCAATGCAGCTTGATGAAAATTTGCACATGCGTTCAGAAAGACCTAACAGATATTCAGGCCGTGATAATTTTTTTCAATTTCACTTTCCTTTACGAGTTATGCTGTCCTAAATTTGTTGTGAGCCTAATATATATCCAATCCATCTGCACAAGCTTTCCGATATTACTAGAAAAGGATGGCAGAAGCAAAAAAATCATCACAATATAAACTTTGCCATTAGGCCCTATTGAACATGTTTGCAAAGTTTCAACAAGATGCATTCTTTCATTTGGGAGATATTCAAGCCTTTAAGGTTCACTGAAACTTGTAGACCTGCTACGTGTCAGGCTGTCAATGTGTCGAAGAAATATAATGGTATATATATATATATATATATATATCCGTGGTTGAACTAGTATAAGGTTGACCCATGAGAAGCTCATTTTTGCATATTTAGTTTGTTGTTTGCCTGTTATGTCACTGATCTCAGTGACGTCACAGGCATTAACCAATCACCAAAATGTGATCAAACCAATCCATCATGGGAATGACTGGATTGTTCACGTATCTCAATCTACATGACGTAATAAGAAAGCTGAACTAAAAGACGGAAATCTTCGTGGGTCAACCTTATAAAGTTCAACCATATATATATACACATGCGAAAATGAAGCTGACACAAAATTAAAATAAAAAGTAAATTCTTACAACGCTCGGAACAGCGTATTGTAAATACACATCTTCATTATTAATTAGGTCATAATTGGTTTGGATTTGAAATAATTACACGTGCCAAGTTTCATAAAAAAATCTGGCATGCCAATAAAAATAAAAAGTCTTCCAGCACATACAGTAGCATATTGTCAATAAATAGATACGTATTTACTTATGTCAAGATCGATTCAGATTTGAAGATCTTAGCGGGAAAAAGTGCAAAAAATCATCATTTAGCACATTTATTAAAATTAAAGTAGAAACAGAAATACCTGGTCATGCTCGCACGAGCCGCCACGAGGGCATTGTGAATGAATAATTTCGTTTTTAATTTGGTAATATCACTTATTTTCAATTTCATAAACTTATGCGTGGAAAAAGTGCTATGAAACTTTGTTCTGTAAATTTGTTTTAAAATATCATACACGGTGTTGAATCGATATGTCAATTGCAAAAAAAATCCCTCAACAAAGAGTTTGCTCTAAATTAGGAATTGAATTGAAAACAAAATCCAGAGTAGAGTGGATGCGGATTAGAAAGGAATGAACGTCTTCGGCTCTCCGCTATGACAAACTAGAGCATCTTTTTCGAAAGCATTGAACGAACTCAACTTCTAAATCTGATCTTTGAACGTGAAGTTTTGAACGAGTGTTGTTGTTGCCAGACGTATGTGAACTGGCGCCACGTGTGGTTGTCGATGCCTGCGCTGCCAGTACCAAACTTGCATTGTCGCCTCAGCAGAGCAGTCAGCAGAACCTACTAACATTGGAGACAGAGATATGTAAAAACTAATTTTTTAAAATGTAAATTTATTTGTAAACTGAGTTATATTTTGACTGTTTACCATCATCGTTCATAAAATTGTGATGCAATGCATATGCTTAATTTGCGTTCAGAAATTGTATGTTTACCCTAGAAAAAAAATATGTTCTCGATTGCCACTATGGATCGAGTGCAAGAGGTTTGAGAGGAAGCGTGGAAACCAGTCTTTTGGGAGTGTTGCAATGTTCTTGCTACAAGTTTTCTTCCAATTTGTAAGGGTCTTCTTTCAATGGGATGCTTCTTTCAATGCAGAAGATGCATTGTGTTGGCTGACAAAAAGGCGAAGCTTATGTTTTTTGCATTGCAAAGTTGAAATACGTCCTGGTGCAGATGAGAGGAGAGGTTATCTCCAATTAACACTTTGTGACCTTTCAAATTCTTACAGAAGGGCAGCAGAAGAGTTTTAAACCAATCATAAAATGTGTCAGCATCATAATGTCCTAGCTTTATGCTACATTATGTAGCATAAAGCAAGTTAGGAAATCATAGCCAGATAGCCTACATAATACATTTAGCCTTTAGGTACTACCATCCTACTACCTTTAAAAAATCCCTGAAAAAAGTGTGAAAAGTGCAATTTTAGGAAAGTAGCTACCTCTGCTAAGCTGCTAAGATCTGTAGCAAAAAAAAATATATTTGCCTTTTTAAAAAATTTTACTTGCATAAAAGTTGCACACACGTGTTGGCCTAAAAACACAATTGATAGAATTTGCCTATCTTGTTAAAAAAAATGGCAGCCATTCCCAATTTCCCACAGGATGGGATAATAAGGGACAACCCTAAACACACATTTACAGTAGCTAGAACCTCAGTTAGCAAATGCTCCAGACTCCAGTTAACCAAAAAAATCGATTAACAACAAAAAAATTTCTATCTATGTAGCCTACATAGTAGTACATTACATAGTACCTACATAGATAGGTCATACTCATAGGCAGGCTTATAGGCCTAGCCTCCTAGTCCTACTCCTAGTCTCCTAGACTCCTAGTCCTAGGTACCTAGTAAAAATTTTGAAATTTACCTATGTAAATATTTGTAGCTTTGCAATATTATGATTAGTTTAGGTACCCCGTTTTACGGTATACATACCTAGTAGAATTTAGCACTATACTATCTATAGGAGTAAGCACTTGCACTAAGTCTAATGCCATTGCCAAATGGCAGAATAAAAATTAATAAAACTTACAAAAATAGGCTATACCTACAAATCTATCTAAAAATAAAATACACTGAGGACATGGAATTTTGAGACATTAAATGATTAGTGAACGAAGTATATTGTCAACTGTCAAGTGGTACAAATTACGATCAATCATCAATGAAAATAGAATAAATAATGGTTCATCCTTCATCCAACGGAACTCAGCACAAGATGTCGGCCGCCGGCGACATTGAAGTTTAATGAGTAAAAATTATTTTTCAAAGTTAGTTAGCTGTATGAAGAACTAGTAAGTATCTGAAAGACATTTTTACGAAGTGTAGTTATCATGACAATGTCACATTAAAAAGTTCAGTTTAGGAAGCTACGCGAGTAACACGTAAGCATCGAATCACTGACGTCCACGGTTCATGCATTCGTGTTTCGTACAAATTTGTAGAAAATAATCCAAAGTTGCCACTCTTCAATTGACCAACCAGTAATTTTTTTACAAATAAGCTCTATATTTTACCAATAAGCAACGACCATGTAAGTTTTCAATTGTAAAATTTAGCCTGACAAATAATATTTTGATGTGCAATTCGGTCACGACCTTAGGATTTACGTTTGTGGGATATAGACAGCCTACAGGTCGCATCATCTCACGGTTTACATTTGCTTGAAGTAATAAGCACTTTTTTTAGATTATTACTACCTAGAATGTTCTCAACAGTTAAAAACTGTGTATAATATTAGAGAAACTCAGTCGAAAATAAACGTTTAAATCGTTTTGGCGTTTGGCAGACGTATTTATGCCGTTTACGTCATCTATCTTCCGACAACTGCAACCCTTTCTGTTATGCAGACATTGACTCGCTCTGTTTGGACAGTTTGGTGGACACTGGAGTGACTGGACAGTGAACTGGAATAAATTCCCGGTCAAGATTTTAAATACAATTTTTATAGAACTTTTAGCCACTAATGAATCCTATTATCCTGCACTGATTAAACAGTGTTCTATTATTGACAATAGAGTGATAAGAAGCCTAAACTTTCATATCGCTACCAAGAATGATACAGAGCGAGTTTTCGTTGTTAACAAAACTTAAAGCAAAAGCCATATTTTTTAAGAACACTTCTTATTAATATTTTTGAGGCACGTAAATTGTCTCCTTCACTCATTTTTTATGATTATTTTGCACAATTGATATATTAACAGGCGCGAATTCACTTTATAATGCCCAATGCTTTCAATAAATCTTGCTGAGCTCGTTTTCTACCTCGTTGGGACTTTCGATTTCATCTCTGCTACAGTGAAGCCAGTTGCAAATCTCTGTCGTTACATTGCTTAAAAGCATGATTGAACAAATTCAAAGTTGTATTAGTTCAACCAAGCACAACTAATTGTTTAACTAAAATATTATTTCATTAGTCCAATTATGTCATAGTAATTGTTGAACTAAAATATGGTTGTCTCAGTTCAACCATTCATTTTAAGAGTAATGGGTTTTTTCGAACACTAATCGATTAATTATAGGTAAAAATGCACAATTATTATTAGTAGTAGCGCTGCTGATGTTGCTAGCAAAATATTTTAATTGCGATACGGTTGATGTTGCACTATTTTTTCAAAACTAAAAAAAATTATCCTACTTATTTCAGATTTCACTGTGGAGATAATGTTCAAATTTAAGAAGAAAGAACACGCTCCTCACTCTTCCTCTACTTGTGAAGGCCAATATATCATACAATACGAAAAAGGACTCGTCAATAATAAACTGGTTTACGTCAACATTGAAAAGTCTACTGTCTTGGCTGCTCACCCATCAACAGGCTGGTGCATAACACATCTTAATTATTGGGATGAAATAAAGGACAAGCAAGGATCATTTGGGGGATTCCATTTCGGGGGAGGTGAGACACCAGCGGATAACATCTGGCAGGACTTCTCCGTGATAGAACCGAAAGGATTCATATTCGTTTCTAAACCGAGTACAAATAACTATGCAAAATGTGACGGCGTCTATGTCTATGAAGATAGAATTGATAAAATAAACGGCCGAGACGTGTATGTGAATCGCACGAATGGTAAATTTCTAGCAGGACACCCTAACAGTGGTTGGTGTATCACGGACCTTTGCTACTTGGATGAAGTCCAGAGAACACAGGGAGCGTTCGGAGGGTTTCACTCAGTAAGTAGCTTTGAACCCGAAGACGGAAACTGGGCATCTTATGAAGTGAGTAAATTTGGTCCATTTGACGCCAAACACGATACGATCTACAAAAAGTCGTCTTGGGTGAAACATGAAAACACAACCGTCTCATTCAAAGCGGTGGCCAACTCAGGAGTGGTCAGAACTGATGAAGACTTTCACGAGATGCGCAAACGTTGCATTTCTCTAAATTGTGGAGGCTTTGCATGGAGAAAACCCCACTACAATCAATATGGTGAAGAAGATGATCCGCCAGTTTGTTTCTTTTACCGACGGAGTCAGAACGAATTGCGCCTATCCTTCGTTAGTTCCGATAAGTACGACTTTTACATAGCTCCAGAAAAATTTTGCCCGGACTGCCGTTTTGTACCATTCCGTGATCCTGCACCCTCATGCCACGTCAATTGGCTTGCCGGTCGTCCTGTGCATTCTTTTGCCTGCCAGATAGTCGTCCCATTCACCACTTCTTCGACGTATTATTGCGTGGGTGGATTTCATTGTGGTTACAGCGGGATCCAACAACATTGTGATCAGAAGCAGCAAATCCTCTTTTCCGTCTGGAACGATTCGTGCGCCAGCAGCAAAGTTAAGAACTGTTGTGTGTATCCTGGAATAGTTGCCAAGCCATTTGGTGGTGAAGGTATGGGCATGCAGGCGATAGGCGTGAGCGGGGACACCTGTGGATCAAGCGATTGTTCGCTTGCTGCCTGGACCCCTGGCACGGCATACACATTCGTTATCAGAGCTTACCCGTTAGCAGGTGGTACAGAGTTTGCCTGTTATGTACACAAACCACATTGTGGTTGGCAGCTGGTCGCTCGTCACGAACGTCCCGAAGCCCCGCGTTCTGCCAGAGGGAAACTTGAAGACTTATACAGTTTCATCGAAGACTTCTCCGGTAACTCTCTTCGACGAAGGGCAAACTTTGCCGCGTGGGTTCAACTTGATCCTGGCGCTCAGTGGGAGCCAGTGAGACGCATTAAAGGAACGTCTACAGCTGACAAGGAGGTTCCGAACAAGTCAGTGCGTCTTGTGACAGAAAATTCCTACCAAAAGGTAGAACTAGTGAGCGGAGGTGAGGCCTTAGAACATTTCAGCCTTTATGAGGGATATTTGAGTAACCCTCTTCCTGTACCAGACATTCTAAAAGAATTGGGCAAGTAAAATGTTTCCCATTTCTTATGCGAAAAGTATCTCCTCTAAGACGAGTTTTATAAAATATAAAGGCAAATTTTTTCTTCCAATCTATTGTCGCCACAGGATTTAGTCTCGTTAATAGTTGGCAGTTTGTTTGATGCTGCAGCTTGATACTGTTTCTGGGACTGATATGGGCTAAAAATACTTCCATTAAAATTAGTTAATGACAAACACAGATGCCATCCAAAAGCAACAACGATTCTGTCATAGAATGAAGTTGTTTCCATTACGCTGCCACCAGTTTCTCTGCCTATAATGCATGCTGTTTCTCGCCTATAAACTCTGTAAGGATGTCATCTGAATTACTGAAAAAATTTAGAACCTAACTCGTACAGCCTAGCCAAGCTATCCAGAATACTTCGCCAGTCAAGGCGCGCAGCAGACTGAGCTGCTGTTGGGCGCGCATCCGTGCACCACCAATTTTGTGCACCAATAGGCCCTGAATCGAACGTTTTGGATCTCTCCGGACATCCACCAATCAGCCGTGAGCCACTCGGCTTTGTCCTTCTCCAGCCTTGCATAAAACCTGTTGAGCACCACCAGGCCGCGGATCGAATATGACTTCCGGGCATCGTTAAATTACGTAATTTTACGTTCACCGCATCTGAGGTTAGGTTTTAGATAGCATAGTTCTGTTCTAAAATTTATCGTCCTTCGACGAGTGGCCGTTCGACCGAGGGCTGGTTCGGGAGCGCAGCCGTGCACCACCAATTTTGTGCACCAATAAGCCCTGAATCGAACGCCTTGGATCTTTCCGGACCTACACCAATCAGCCGTGCACCACTCGGCTTTGTCCTCTTCCGGCCTTGACCACCACCTACCGTGCACCACCAGGCCGCGGATCGAATATGACTTCCAGGCATCGTTAAATTACGTAATTTTACGTTCACCGCATCTGAGGTTAGGTTTCAGATAGCATAGTTCTGTTCCAAAATTTATCGTCCTTCGACAAGTGGCCGTTCGACCGAGGGCTGGTTCGACCCACGGCCTGGATACGGACGGCTTGAAGTGTTGAAGGCTACGTTCCGGAAGGCAGGAATCATGATGGTCCATTACATCCAGGGCAGTGGTGGTCTTTGGCAGGCGACCCGGCTGGTTCGACGTACGGCGTAGATATGATTGGCCAGAAGTGTTGAAGGCTACGTTCCGGAAGGCAGGAATCATAATGGTCCATTACATCCAGGGCAGTGGTGGTCTTCGGCAGGCGACCCCTGCTGTTAGGCTGCAGAGCTATTGCTAGGTACTAATCCGCAAATCGTTTGTCTTATAATGCAACTAGTGTTCATATAGATTTATTTCATATATTATAATATTGATGATTTGCAATCCGATTAACTTGATTCGACTTATGTAATAATTCTTAGAATATCTAACAATTGATTAACTTGATTCAATTTTTCGAGTTATTTCTCTATTCCCGTAGGAGAGAGAGTCGCTCTCTATCTCCTGCCTTACGTATGTCTTACTTACTTTAAAGTTTTCAGTTACTAGTATGTTGCTACGAAACTTCTTGGTTTAAATTAGTTTTCAGTGTAATTAAAAAATCAAGACTCTTCTTATGTGTCTTTTCTGGCTTTGTCAATTTGTTTATTCTGGATTAAAACTTATGATAAATTGCATGCTTACAATATTACTTGTATTTTACGCTTACTGTTCGTTCTTGAAGTGAAGGTTCGAGCAATTGGAAACAGCTACTTATTCCTCTTTTATATCCATAAAATACGAAGTGTGAATTCTATATTCTACGTTACGAGTCTGCAAGCATTTATAACATGGGCCCATTTATATATTATTACCTTCAGTTATACCTTGATCTACCATTAACTTTTTTACCCTTTTTCAAATATCATGTTTTACATCAATTTCTTGAATTTACCGCTGTAGAAGAATTAGTTATCCCTAGATATCCATTTAAATTATCGTTACATTTGAAAAACAAATATTTTATATTACGGGTAAAACGGCATATGTTTTTCATAATTTAGGACCATTCATTTTTTCCTCATTTTTCACATAACAATTTTGCGTTATTTTTATGTTATATTATTAGCTATAAATTTTGGAGGTCAGAAAAATAATATTTAAAAAGCGGGTGTTAATTTTTTCACGATAAAGTTGGTGATACTCGTATATTCGATGGAAGGAGCTAAACTAAATTTCCATTCTCACGTAAAGCACATGAAACTTTATTTTGATTAATGCTTGTGTCAGTACTAAGATGCCTTACCTTGCAATATATATGATAGGATTCTTGCTCAGCGTAAGGAGGTTTAGACGTTATTGACTATGATTGATTTGATTGTTTGCAGTAAATAGAGCATATATTAAGAATCTGTCTTTCTAACCTAAAATTTGGGCTTTCTTCTCTGAATTTTACAATATTGCTAATATTCTCACGAAAACATTCTATGAACTCCAATATGATCATTGTGTTAATACTTTGTAACATGTTCGCCCTCTATTGATAATTAGATTCGTTGCATTCATCTTGTTAATTTTATTGACCTTCATTGTCAGCGAAGTATATAATGATTTAAACATAGTTTATCAGCACCGCTGCCATTCGGTGTTTTACCTTTTGTCATTATTTACTACCGAATTCGGTATTTTACCTTTTACTGCCATTTACTAAAGGTAAATTCGGTAATTTACTAAAGGTAAATTCGGTAATTTACTAAAGGTAAATTCATTTATTTACTACTGCCATTCGGTATTTTACCTTTTTGTCATTATTTACTAAATTTGTCATTATTACAAGCAATTAATTAAAACGTGCCATTGAAGCGTATTGGGTTGGTGACGACTTTGTATTATTTTACATTAACTGAATTTGAGTTTTAAACTCAAAATGTGGTACGCCATTTTTTTTAATTTCAGCAATATTTTGAACGAAATCAGGTAGGTCGTAGAAGAAAGAAAACCGAAATTAGAAATCATCGATGAGCTTCTGAAATTTATCATAATTGATTGGGATGCGCATATAACTAGGACTAATTGAATTATCTAATTGACCAATAACCTTCTTCATTTCTCGCTTTAGGAGTTTAATTGCGAAAAGCTTTTAACCTGACCTCACTGTCAACGCAGAACACGATCATCATGCATATTTTTCCGCTACATATGGCCCTTGTAGACAAAATTAGAACGGCACAACATAAGTTCACTTGTTAGCTGAAGCTTTTTAGCTCATCCAGGCACGATTCTTCTCGAGTTAGCAAGTCAGCTGACGCCGCCATCTGTCGCGACAAGTTTACGACGAGTTATTCGTCTTGGGAGCGTCCGAGATGCGCTTCACGCTTCGACTTTTTGTACTCGCTACTTACGAACACTTGGCATCGTCGGTGAGGTGCATTTTCTGGGGTATATCATTCCTCGGGTAAATGATCAAACTCCAAGCTATACAAATAATGCTTAATGCTTTGGTTACGTAATTATTATGGCATGTAAAATTGGGCAACGAAGTGTAAAAGTTTAGCGGACACTGTCCTTAACCGGACGCGTTCCATACAATACTAAATTACATCAGCACCAGCCACTAAAGCAATGTATAGGAATTAGCGAAGAATGTCGATGCTTATTCCGTTCTCCTTTTAATTTGAACGGGTTTATTATTATCGTGTTGCGTGCTGTTATGTTCTCCAAAGGGATTGGGACGGCAAGTATAGAGCCGCGCGCTAATGGGGAGTTACGAAACAAAACTTAGGAAACTGCACAATATGTATGTATAAATGCGGTTTATTTAATGCCGGCAGTTAGAATGTAGATGTGCATAGTGTGCTCACGCGTTGTGAACAGGTGTACCTATACAGCACGTTTGCATGTGTTTTTTTAACGATTACAGCGCCCGCGAACGCAATTTTTCATGTTGCTCGGCCGGACTAAATAAGTCTTCAAACTTTCATTAAAAATTGATTGTGATATACGTAGAAGGTAAGGCGTAAATGTCTCGTCTTCCGTTTTTTTCAGCGTGTCACGTTAATTGAGTCACGGATTAACATACAAATACTAGCGTACATTATAAATATAAAACTTTCTTAATATTTTCCATTAAGAATTTAATTTAAATGACATCGAAAATTAAAGGGCTGCCATTTAATTGATGCTGGCCAATCATGCTTCAAATTTTTGACAGAACTTAGAATTTCAATCGGAGCGTTTTGTCACAAACCAGTATTTGAGAATTTTCTACCAGTGAATTCAATCATTAGAAAAAATAACTACAAATGTAAAACAGTTATTTAATACCTTACCTTCAACTAATGTTTTATTTTCAGGGTATAACGATATAAACCTTATGCGAAAAATATTTGTATATGCGTTAAATAATCGGTATTTAGATAATTTATGCACTTATATGGTACTTTTTTCGTTGAATGTTATTTTTTCCTGAAAAACTGAAAGTAAACGAAGTTTTGCCTGAATATTTATATATTTGTAAGAAATAATAATATTCTGCCTTATTTTTGCTGAATTAACGAACAATTAAATGTCTTTAAATTAAATGGCTTTTTTTGCACCAGGCCATTTTTTTTTTTTTGTCTAGGAATGAGAACATAAAAGTCTTTGAAATTGTCTTCATTGAAATATTCCCAGAAAAATCTGACGTAAAAGCATCTGTATATATATATATACAGATGCGTCATAAACCTCATACTTGGATGAAGGAAGGTTCTTTGTTTATTTTCATTAAAAATACATTTGTGAAATACATGTTTCAGAATGTTTTTCTGGATACTCTTTACTACACAGAATTCCTTGTTTTTGTGACGTATTCCTATCATCAATTGATGTTATTTACATGAAAATGAAGCTGCTGTGATGGCGCCCAAAATATCGGGAGCAGCAGGGAATTATCATGGCTGCTCAAAGACATTAATAAAAGCAGCTTACGGACGAGACTGAAAAATGGAGCGCGACAAAGAACTCGGCACGCTGGGAAGGTCGCCGATCCTATACCGTGATACGTTCTTAGTCTGTAAGCTGACAAGCGATCAAAATAGAGCAAATACCTGCCGGGATATGCATAACAAACAGCCGTGCTGGTCTACTTCTAGCTTATCTATAGCGACTGATATGTTCCTAGAAGAGAGACCAAACAGCCGTGCTATTCTACTTCTAGATCATCGAGCGACTGTTCTGTAGGTACATAAAGAGAGACCAAACAGCCACGCTAGTCTGCCTCTAGCTTATCTAGCGACTGCTCTGTACCTAGAAGAGAGACCAAACAGCCACGCTAGTCTGCCTAGCTCTATAGCTTATCTCATCGACTGTTCCGTGCTGGAAGAGAGAGACTAAACAGCAATGCTAGTCTACTTCTAGATCATCTATAGCGACTGTTCTGTACCTAGAAAAGAGAGACGAAACAGCCACGCTATTATATAGCCTGCCTCTAGCTTATCTATAGTGACTGTTCTGTGNTGTTCTGTTCCTAGAAGAGAGACCAA